ATGCCATATTTTGCCATATTTTCTTCCAAGAGCTCTGTGATCCTGGGCATGTCAATGAACATATTTGCGTTGCTGAAAAATGAAGATTCTTCTTTACACACTGCCTTGATTACAGACTCCAGGGATCCAACAGCTGAACGTCTGAACTGCCCACCTTGTAAGAACTAGAACAAATGAAAATACAGATGAACCAAAGCGGCTTTCAGTAGCTTCAGAGAGTAGCCCTGGTGTTCTCTCAATACGGCATCCAAAGAGAGCAACAAAATTACACTGCAGAAACTGCATGCGAAAATGAGGGCCTGCTGTGCTCTTCACTGTTCTCCTGATCACCTTTGTCATGGCCAGGATACTCCATGAAAGACAGTAGTATAGTGTATTACTTTAAACTTTGAAAAATACTGTGTATTGATGGCTTGCTTAGGCACAAAAGGAATGGAAATATCAAGACAACAAGACTCCTAAATTACCATGTCAGTTTTCAAAGTTTACTCTTCTGGTAGACTACTCCTGTGGTCATGAAGGCAGCAGAAACATACAGTCATTTTGCATGATGCGAATGCTTGTGGTGAAAACAGCTGCTGAAAAGAAAAATGGTTTTCAGAGCGTAAGTGCACTCTGAAAAAATGAGTTTTCAAGTATATCTTTTAACTTGTTAGATGTGCTTCTAGGCTTTGTTTGTTTTTTTTAAAAACATCTTGAGTCATACCAGCATTTACTTTTGCCATTTGCTCATGACTGACAGACCTCTCAGCACGAGAAGAGCGCGATCTGACTGCCTTTCTGGCCTAAGCACGTCATTAACCACATTCCAAAAACGGCCTCCTCCCTGCAACTTCAGTTTTCAAATAACGTGCTCGGTTGCTACCAGAATCTCATGGAAGGCTGTGCACTTGCACTGCTCTAACAGAGGATATAACTGAAAAGGAAACTGCACTGCAAAAGTAGAACCGAAGGATACATCTCACTTGCATATGAAGAAAAAGAAAATTAGACTTCCATTCCAGTTTAAGACTGCAAGACTGGCAGACGGAAGAAAGATTTTGATAGGTCAGCCAAACACATTTGACATAGAAATAAATTATGAGCATCAATTTTCAAAATGGTGCAGCACTTCACAAATAGAATAAATCATGGTAAGTTTAGAGGTCATGTTATTAGAAACAGTTCATCCTGATCAACGCATTTACTACAGTGTCAAGTGCCTCTTAGTAATCCTGGAGGAATATTAGAAAGTGTTATCAAAAGTTAGTGTTTGCTGCCCCCAGAATCTAAATTTTGGCACTCAGTTTCAGGGTTCAGCAGAGTAAATAACACCCAGACTTCATAACTCTACCATCTACAGTTCTAGAAAAAAATCTGTTGGCATGGACTTCACTGGGAGAATAAACTTTATTTATGCACAGTGCTGAATAAGAGTGGTTTTGAATCCCTATTTGTGACTACTTGCACTAGAAGGGTAAGTGAGGTTTATTTCAGTCAAAGAACACAAGCTGACTGATTAATTCTGGTTCCAATCAAAATAACTTGAAATTCAAATGATGAATATTTATGCAGTGAGCTGCCACCAGACTGAATCCACTTACTGTCTTTCAGCTAAATACCCTCTGACTCAAAAAGATGAGATGTTACCTATAATTTGGCTTTGATAAAGTGGGAGAACAATATAGGATGGATGTTCACAAAAAGTTATCTTTGATCCAGGTGTTCTAGTTTAAACTAAATGAAGTAGGTCTGTAATCAAGGCTTTTGATTCCAAACAAATAGCCCATTACAAACAAGGCTCGGAAGGGAGGCTCTGAAGATTTAAAATCTGGGCTGCATTCTCAAATGAGGACCAAAATCTCCTAACATAGGGGCTTTGGACCTATTTGGACAACTGTGTCTTCCTAAAAAGAGTATTATGGACAAAAAATTTTATAGAACGGAAAAATCTGCAGTTCAACAAAAAGTCTAGAAGTCAAGCCAAGTTACAATTTGCAAAGAAAATTAAAACAAATTAAGAAATAATACATAAAGAGATGGAAGAAAAATGCCATTTTACTGGAAAACTAGAGGGAGATTAAAGATAATCCAAAACTTGGCAAGACTGAGTGGCTAAAGGAAACAAGTGTGGAGATATTCCTACTTCTGGGCAGAGACAAAAATGAATCAAAGTCTTTATTGTACTGAAATTAGCAGAATAAGAAAAGATCAGCAAAAGATTGCAAATTTGGTAAAACTATTTCTCAGAAGTCTATGAAATTTGGATTTCAGCATTTGAAGGAAAAGTAGAAAACTAGAAGGCACTGCTGGACAAATGAAGATCACAACATTATACAGGAAGAAACCAATTACCTGATTTAGATTACTAAACTAAATAATGATATCCAGTGTAAATCATTATTTAGCAACCAAAATCATGATACGCTATTCCAGAAACAGAGATTACCTAGGTACATTACTGCTCCTTGATCAAATCAAAGACACAAAAGTATGCAACTTTTGAAAAAGGCAAAAGCAAGATAAAGTAAGTTGTTTCAGTTGGTATAGACATGAATTAACAGAACTACAGGAGCCACCAGCAACACTTCCCCTCAAAAGACTGCACGTGGCTTTTGTCCCCAGCATTCAAGATTAACTCTTGACACAGCATGTGCAGATGACACTAAGGATGTCTGAGACAACTGAGAGCCTGTTACAGGAGAAAGGAAAAAACAAAAACAAGACCAAAACAAAACAAAAACCACCGCCACAAAACTTACTTAACCTTGCAAAACAAAGAGGGACTAGGACTGGCCTTCTTCAAGTATTTAAGGCCATCAAGGGTTTAAAAAGCTATGGGACATTTTTGAAAGAATAAATGTAGTAGTCATAGGTAAATTTAGATTAGAATTTTATATGTTTCTAACTCCAAGAAGCTTTCCAATAACGATAGCCTAACTAGTTCTAACGCAGAACCTGATAAACTTAGCAAAGAGGTTACAGAATGAGGCTGCTTTCCACAAGAGTGACAGCATTCAGTACTCAGCAATCCCTTCCGGCCCTGTGCTTATCTACTCACGAATGACAAACAGACCAAAAATTAGTACTGGAAACATAAGCAGATAATTTCTAACAGCAAACGGAAAAGCAAAAGTCATGATCAAAATCAGCAATGCTTTTCTTCAAGGGAGTTATCCGTGCGCTCAGTGCCGTTAACAAGAGAAAGTGGCTGTGCTCAGTTACGCTGCCTGGCAGGTGTTGAGTTTTAAAATGTTTTTTTACTACACACAATGCAGCGTACCAATTCAACGTCACATTGCAGATAATAGAATAGTATCTCTTGCTTTCCATTTGGTCTTTCAGGCAAAAACTCATATGCATAACTGACAAAATTACTTCGTTACTGCTACAAAGAGATTAGCAAAAACTTTTTAAAATTCCATACTTCAAAATAACTTCGTCAGTAAGAATTTAATGAAAGAGAGACTGTCTCACCTATGCTGAAGATCCACACTGTTTTATTTTGGGGGGGAAAAAAAATCGATATATCCTGTTATCTTCCTAGGTCTCTGAAGTACTATTGGCTGGTTATCACCAAAACAAATATGCAAAAGAAAGGACTTATTTGGAAATTGAGGAACATATTTTAGGAGAAAAGTATGTAAGCAATATCTGCAACACACTTATTAAGAACAAGGACAGCCTTTATAGAGAGGACAAGAAGCAAGTATAATTATTATGAACTGAAAGACAGGTACTGGAAAGTAACAAAACGCATAAAAGCTGAGAAGGAAAGGAAGCTTAACAATTTTTGCTAGTCCATACAAGAAAAAAAAGTTCAGCAGTACAGATAGAAAGGCCTTTGAAAACAGCATGCAGCTACTGTATGAATGAAAGAAATAGACACCGACCTACTAAAATAAATGTGCATGCTTTTTTTAATCCTCCACAGGACACTAGGGGGCACCAATTTCTCAATAAAAAAGGAAACAGCAAAACAAAAACTAAGGAAATAAAGATTGTATTGCAAGATGTAAAAAGCAAAGAGTTCCAATTAAATCTATGTTACATTGCAGGCTAATATGGGAACCCATGGAGCAGAGATCAAAACTGTGACCAGATGGCCCTCTGCTGTTCAATTCTATCCTTTGCAAATTTTCTGGACAGGACCTTTTGAGAGGCTCTATCAGATAAGCAACTAGGATTTCACTCTGAAAATAGCACTGCATTTGCTGGAAGGAAAGTCTTGAGCCTGCCAAAAACAGGACTAGTTTAAGAAAGACTAGAAAAGATGCAAGCCTTCTCGGATGAAAAACACCTTTCATTACAGCAGCTAAGGAGGGACGCCAAAGAACAGCACACAGAAAAAGATTCATACCACTAGGGAAAACAGTATCTAAGGCAGTGTTTAGCGCGCACTGCAGTCACGAACCAGTTTGCACTGAGGCATCTTCAGAGGTCTGCAATTTTAGAATCAGATGCAATCTTGCACTTTCCACACAGAGCAAGTTTGCTCTAGAAGGTAGCGCCACAGGGGTCCAGCAAGTCCAGCGACAAAACAGGACCCTGCTCAAAAGGAGAAATTTTTATGCTGACTCATTTAATACTAGGTCCACACCACTGTGCTAGCCGTAGAGATGCACATGAAGCAACTGTCCTTCAGGACACCAACGAGAGAAATACCCTCCCCCTCCCCTCCCATCCTTTTTTAAAACAGGGAGCAGAACTAGAAAGCAAAAACATTAAGTGACAAAAATAGAAACAACCTATGAAAGATCCAAGGACTCATTATGGTATCTTGAAGCCAGTCATGGTATCTTATTTGTGAGACTAAGATTCTTACCGTAGAGGCAATCACCATAGCAGCATGGAAAGAATCAGAGAAGCAGAGGTATGGATTCTTTAAATCACCTACACAGAATCTCTAAAGAAGTGAACCAACCCTCACAAAAGCAAAAGTTATTTCTCATTAAACAAAGCAGCTGCTAGATAAAGAAATAATTTGTCAAAAAATAAAAGCATTAGTAGAAAAGGCATGGTGCTGTCAAAATCATAGGTAATAAGTGCTATTATTAACCAGTAGCCTAGTACCATATTAATTTAGGCTGCAATGTCATAAATTGATGGGGAGGGGGAACCATCAATACAGTTCCAAAATGACCAGAGCACTCAAAAGAGTTCAAACGCAACTTCTAAGGACAATGGACCATTGTCTCATAATTCCTACTAGTGTTCCTCCTCATTAGTTTCATACATATTGCTAACGAGACACCTTACAACAGGCATTAAGCTTACATTTTGAAAATCATATGCATACCTGCTGCAATGCAGAGATGTCAAGCACACCAATATTTTTAACAGCTTGGAGGAACACTGGAAGGTTTTCCATGACATGCTGGGCTTTACTGAGAAGAGAGCTGATACTAGAAACCACATCCAGTAACATGTTCAGTAAGCTGCCTATCTCAGATGGTATCTTAACCTTGGAAGAGAAGAGGGGGAAAAAATAATCATGGTATTAAATTTCAATTAGAAGAACAAATTTTAACCTTCCAACGAAAGGCTCAAAATTATTCAATCTCTTTCTAAAATTGATTATAGAACATTTCTACAAACCATGTTTTAAAACTCCTTTTAGTATAATTCTCCAATCTCAAATTCACATAAACAAAAATTTTCTGGAATTGTCCAAACTAGCCTACAACAAATTAGGAATTAAAATACAGAGAAATACTGAATTAAAATACTAACTGAACTGGAGACAGCTCTCTCGTCCAACTTAACGTCCACACATGCTGATGGCATCGGTGAAATTCTGCCCCCTTGGAACTGAGCATAAATGACAACTTTCCCTTCAGTACACTCAAGACGCTCAGTACAATAGCTTAATATTTTTTACATAGTTCATATATTAATTTAAATCAAGTAATCTCTTTAGCTGCTTTAGGAATCCTATTAGACAAGATATTTTCCTGTGATACTGTTCCTCTCTGCATTTTTCCTACTGCATTTTACCTAAAATAATTCCATGCATTTCATTTCCTACTTGACCAAAGTTCAATCACCCTTCTGCTTTTGCCACCAAGCATCTTTTGGCATTAAGAATTTTCTCATCTCCCTTGCGTTTATAGGCCATTTAGATGTCGTATAAATGCAAACTGATTAAGTTATCTGCCTATGCGTGATAACAAAAAACAATATAATCTCATTATGTGCTTCCAGCTGCTTCTTCCAATTACCTTTACTTTATCCACCTGTATTTGAGTAAGACACTTCCTACTATATCTGTGATGAATATTCTTTTCAGACTTCACCTGCTTTCATGTATTCAAAAAATAAATACTCTGCAATAAACCTTTATTCAATTTAAAAAATCAGCAAGACTTCCATAATAATTTAGGATAAACTGATAACATTTGTTATTCTGCACTAGGAATTCATAGGGTTCAAGAGAAAAGCCATCAGAACAAGCACTCTTCTCGTTCTCTGTTTTCCCTCCAGGTGGCCACATACTTCAGAAAATAGAAATATTTTCTCTTCCCTCCAATATCTTACCTATTCTAGGCATTTTTCTCCTTTTTAGAAATATGCGGCCACTCAATTTAACTACACATGCAGCCTCCAGAACATAATCCAGAAACTATGGCTGTAGAACAAAATTTTCTTCCTTCCTGTTCTATGAATAACTTTCAATTATTTGTACTTACAATCTTTAAGTTCTGTCAGTCATTTACCATGAAAGAATTGGAATAAACACCTGTTAACTATCACTATCACAAGTCTCTCACAATAATTTTGTTCTTACAAGTAAAAATACCATCTCACTGAAAACCCAGACTAGATCCCAAATTATACAGAGTTGTACAGATAATGTGGTTTTGCTGCAGACTTTTGCTGCATTGCCTTCATTACAGCTTTGTCACTGCCTTTTTCTCATTGTTTTCCAAGGGAATATAAACACCAAAGTTTGCCATCACCATTATCAACCCTCTAGGATCCATCCATCTTGGTAAATAACTGTGTGATTTTTTTTTTAGTTGAATGAAATATAGTGGAAGCCAACAGACACTGTTTAAGTCATCACCATTCAGATGTGTTAAACTTTGTTAAGTATCCAGGAGAGGTTATGAATCAGATCAAACCAAGCTGTATGAGTTAAGTCATACGACATACAGATTTTTTGCCTGTACAGAGACTAACCCTGAGAGTTGGAAAAACATATTTACATCCTTCCTGAACTCATCCACCTCAATTTCCAGCATGATTTCTACAGCAAATAAATGCATTCCAGCGTGCTATGAATTTTTGCAAGGAAATAACTTCATATTTCTCATAACATAGGCTTCTATGATTGTTTTATCTCAAGTGATGCCATATCAGTCTTCCACACTTACAAATTAAAAATTGACTAACTGCACCATCTGCAAACTCTGCTAAAGATTAATAAAGGTATGTCTTTGACTTCCTGTGTTTTCTCTAAAGCTTTCATAATTAACTCTTCAGGGATAATTTTGCCGAGGAGGAGATGGAATACAGTAGCACCCACCAACTCTATTCCTCAACTGCTCTGTTTGCTCTGTGGAGTTAAAAGACAACAAAGGGCTACATGGCCAGCGTTTGCTTCCACAGAGAAAGAACACCTAAAATAACAAAATACTATATTCGCAAATTGAATTACTCATCCATCTAACTTGCATGCTTTAGACAACCTTCAAAAGAAATCACAGGAAATGAACGATTCCCTCCACCGCTCTTACCTTGTAAATGATATGACGCAAGTTCAAATTCTGTATAATCAATACAAACATGGCATACAAGTCCAGTGCTGGTAAAGAACATAATTCCTCTACCACTAGGGAAGTTTTGCTGTTTTCAGGTAATGTTAGCAACAGGCTAAATACTTCTTCATCACATCTTCCAGCTAAAGCTGCGGCAAAGGCACTGTAAAAAAGCTGTCATAAAGTACACCTATTAATTTTCTTTCTTCCCGAAAGACATCAACTTCTTTACAGTTAATAAAGTGAAAATGTGTCACAGGAACATGACAAGGTATAGTAGTCATCAACAGAACTGAAAGAAAGACCTATACAGCTCTATCAGACAGACTATAAAGTGAGAGCATACCAGTGTGCCTATAAAGAAATTAAGTATATTTCTTAAAACCCTTTCTTTTCATTTGGAAACAGGTCATTTGTTCATTCTATGAGCATTCACGCCATGAGCAGTCATTAACAATGCTGAACGTATGCATTCTAGAGAATATACACCTTTGTTGCAGAAATGCATAAAGATCAAAATGTAGACATGTGAATCATTATAAAAAAAAAAAACTCACAAAAATCAAACAACATGGACTTCCTTCTTTCAGGTCACACGCAAATTTAACACTTAGGGTATGCCTACATGATAAAATGCTCACTCCAAGCCAGCTGACATTTTTCAGCTGAACGCTTCTTTGAAGTCTTATTATTTAATAGTGGAAAAAGGGACAAACGCCCAAGTAGATCTTGGGCAAGATTACAAAAAAACTCCTTGGGCAATTGTAAGGTTTTTCCTCTTCCTACAAAAGTGTCAGAGACCAAAAGCAAATGGTTGCAGCCCAGATATCTCTTAGCTACTCTTATCCTGAAATGCCTCAAGGAAAGAAAACGGCAGCAAGTCCAGAAAAATGGCTATTTCAGAGCCTGCAGAAGCCTGGTGTTTCATTACTGATGAGCCAGTGAGCAGTGACCAGAGCTCCATCGTACTCCTTAGAGCAGAACCTGCCGGTACTGCTTCCACTGAATGCATCCGTAAGCCAGTGCCAACACCCAGCAGGGGAGTATCCCCAGGAAATCATATCAGGAGCCAGAGCTGGTCGAGAAATGCAATTTCATTCTTCAATCCCTGTGAATATTTTAATTGCAACATATTAATTTGCAAAAAATTCTGGACTAAAGAAAATCTAAAAGTCATTTTGCCTTTGTGGTTCCAAAGCATTTCCTATACATTAAAACATTCACTTTTTATGTGCATGTTTGTGTACCTATATATATATGTAACGCACACAGAAAGAGAACAGAATAGGAGTATAAACACTGTTTTCCTATCAGCATAAAAGGATACTGATTTGGACTTAGTTTTAGGGAGTTTTGACTCCGATACTATTTGAAATTCCTGATGAATGTTCCAGCTTCAATCCAGCTTTAATCCATTCAATATTTTACCAACTAGATCAAGCCCCTCTGAACTTCCCTTGCAGCTTTGCTTCAGAGCTATGTCATACTCCTATCCCTAGTTAATGAATGCTTATAATCTTCATTACATCTTTTGAGCAGTTTAAAACAATATATATAATCCTATAGCAATAAGCATGGCCAGAGCATAATCTTGAGGTAGAAATCAAGGGTAAGTGCAACAAGCACCTGCAAATCACAGGCTTAGTTTTACCATTCCAGAGTATACAGTCACAGAAATACAAGGCTGCAAGATGCCTGCAGGTATCAGGGTTTTCAGACAACAGTTATACAAGCCATAAACATGATGGGCTATGCCTAAGTTATACCTTAAAAAAAAGTATTCTCACATATTACATAATCAGTAAGAGACAGATTTTAATACTCAAGTTGGACTGGGGGATAATCTAAGCACTTATGCACACCCAAAATTCTGTATAAATATGCAAATGTGAGATGTGTACATATATCTAAGCTGTACATAGGACTTCTGAAAAAATGAGGATAGACACTCACTTGAAAAAGTCAGCCAGTTAGCTTTATTATTCCAAGAGATCAAAGGTGCAAGATTCTCATTTAAGTGAATCACTTCTAGATGACTTCTCTTATTACCATTTGCTGTTATCAAAATAACAAGCAAACAATGGCAATCACACCGCCAAAGCAGCAGAAGAACTAACAAGTCAGAAGTAGCTATGATTGTCTGAACTGCCTTTTTAACAGCTATACTTTTTGTGAAGACGACGTGCAACTGCTTCTGCAAGCGGAGCATCAGTGACATCCAGTGGCTGCCTGACTGACCCAACTGGTTTATATTAAAGGCATCTCCAACTCCTTTCCACCACATAAGCATTAACATGAGACACAACCCAGAGTTAAGCTGACACTTTTCATGATTTCTACTTTTTGATTATTGGCATCACAGGAAACAGCAACAGCGATAACATACAGCCCTTGATTCAGAAGACTTACACATCAATCCTTTATATGATACTCAATAAACAAGTAAACACATAAATAAAGTGAAGCTAAGGCACGGTAGGGGTGAAAATGTAAGGACAGCAAGGAGCACACCAAGAAAGAAAAGAAATCAGATAACTCTTCTGTAAGACTCGGAGCAGGGGAGATGCAGAATGATTTCTCTAGGAAGTCTCATCTTCTCTACAGTTCCAAGGTAACAGAGTTCAAATTTGGTGTCAGCACAACTGCATAAGACTGCTTAAAGTGGTGCCATTTAGATCAGGAGAAAACTATAAATTGATCCCTGAATGTCTCACATAATTTCTTTCAACACCCCAGATCTCACAAAGTCTTCCACATAAAAGTGACAAGTGAAAATATAAGATTCCACATAAACAAGTTTGTTTTGTTTCAGTTGGTGCATTCAGTTGGACATTAGTCAACCTGTTAATTTAACACCTCTTCTTGATCTTTTACCTTTGAATGAGAGATACTGGCTTCCAAAACAGTCCTGAGAGTTTCTTCAGAAATGTTGATAGAAGAACGAATGTCCAGCCCCAACTTAGTAGAATTCTGTATGCAGTCTTTGACTTTCATACCTGGAAGAGAAGGAAAACGGTACCAACAGTAGTAGTCCACAAAATCCTACCAAATTGCTTAATCAAGTTGCCCACAGACTGTGGTCTCTCCTCTAGATTTATACTGAGGAGTTATAAAAGGGCATAAAATCTTCATATTATGCAATTCACCTCTACATCAAATCTAAAGGCCACTTTACTAGCAGACTGAAGGGCTTGTATATCTGTGTGCATTATCCTATCAAAGCACATGTTATCCCACATCCCTTTATTAAGGGAACATCTGAAATTACTGAAGCAGCCTTTAACCACTTATTTTCTTCTTCTGTCAGTCAGATCCCCTCTTTCTAATGAATCCCTACATGTCCCTAGGACAGGCCTCAACAGGGTGAACTATACCATCCTGGGACAAGAATAGTGTCTATGTGTGTATATGTGTACATACTGAGAATATATTGCCTTAAATCAGTACTTTCCATAAGCAATATCCTTTTAACCTTAGGAGAACAACCAAAAAGTTACTCTGCTGCAAAAAAGATACACAGCAGAGAACTGCAAAAAAGTGCTGAAGAAAACAGGAACTCACCATTCAAAAGATTGAAATTGCTGAGAAAAGCTACCACTGGATTTTCTGACAACAGTGGCTCCAAATTTTCAGCTAACCTGAAATGATAGCCTTAGTTTTATAAGTTACCAAAACTAAGTCATTGACATTACCATGTATAGAGAGAATAATGAGCAGCAAACAGCCATTAAACTAGGCTAAAAGGTTCCATTGTATTCTCTATACACACATCGCACATGCAGTAAGCACCTCTGCAGAGCCTGTCCTGTTGCATTTATGCATTGCACTTGAGCATGGATCATCATATTTCTTACTGAGAAAGCCTTCATTAAAAGGTGTCTACATTTGTAAAGTGCTCTAGCAAACAACAGCTCATGGAAAAGCACAGATCTAGTAAAGCGTATCTGTCTTTTTTTTTTATTTACACTAAAAACATTTTTTAAAATCTAGCAGCATCACAGTTCAGTATAATGAAGTTATCTGACTCTAAATTTGAGTAATGAAAGGTTTAGATAGTTCAAGTATTATTTACTATTAAAAACACCAGATATGAGTTAATGGTTCATTAGAGCACACAGGCTCAAATTCTTCCATATAATTATAACTCACATGGGCTATTCAAGTCCATTATGAAAACAATGCAACAGACAAGCCAGTAAAGCAACAACTGTAAGAAAAGCCACTTAGAAGCGACAGTTAAGTCTGAAATAGTCTGTGGTAGTAGCTTTACTTGTTCATCAAAAACTTGCTACTTTTTCCTCAAGGGAATAGCAAATATCTGAAATTATTTGGAACTCAATCCTGTCAGGTTACAAGCACCATCCAGTATTTCTGACTGTTTGAACTGCAGATCTGTATTTAACATTTACGTATTTAGCATTTTGCAAAGGTATCCAGCTTCTGAGAGGCTCAGGCCGTAGCAAACAGCTTTAGATTAAAAATAAGTAACAATAATACTAAAAACTTGACTTAACTCAGTTTTCAGAAAAATAAAAATTTTCACAGTTGTGATTCAAATTATTCTCCTTGTAGAGCACCAAGATCTGCTGCAAGTGCTCAGCAAAAGTATAAGGATATTGGAAATATCCAGAATTTTGCTAAACAGGAATAATTAGAGTGTATTTTTTCTGCTGAATTTTCAGGTAAATAAACAAAGCATAAAGAGATTTTGATGCATAGCATTTCTCCTGCAATTTCATAATTTAGAACCAATGCATACGCATGATGAAGTAACATCACTAGCCCTAATAAGAACTACGTTGGGTACCGAAAATACAGGCTTTACGTTTGTAAGTGTCTCTGGATGTTCTCTAACAGTAGGCGACATTCACAACTGCCATCAGTGGTATTTTGTAAGGCCCTTAAGAAGCTCTCCAGAGTATTGAAAAATTGCTGGTTTATATATGCCATATGCTGACAATCTCCCTTGTTGAGAGCAGACCATGTTCTTGCAATACCCTGCAAAAGACAGTGATTATACAGTTAAATTCACATTAGATGTTTTTAATGATTGAAGTGGAGATCTTGGCAATTACAGGAGATATTTTCAAATGATAATGTGGTTAAGGCTATACTTATTTACTAAATATTATATTTGCTACTGAAACTGGGCCAAAGGTTTTCAAGCTAGGGAAAATTGAATTCTCAGAGACTTCAGTTTTGGAAAAGATCAAAAACATTTGCAAATTTGACCTAGCCTTGCAAGAAGATTCAGCCAAGAAGTATCAAAAACTTCATTTGAAATTTAATTACAAAATGAAACCAGCTTTTTAGGTTGACTATTTTTTATCTTTTCCCCAAAAATTGATCTAAACAACAGTTTCATTTATCTCAAATCCATATACTCTCAGTTCTTGGTTCAGTCAAAGAAAGAGAACGCCTCAGTTCTACCCTTACCCAACGGTGTACTTATACTGTGCCTTGCGCAGTTTTTACTCTCATCTTTTCTCTTGATTATTCACATTTCTGCTTTTCAATCTTTTTTTTAAACTTACAAAAGTATGTCACAGAATAGCAAAGAGCACAGAAATGCATCTGTTTGGCAAAAGTCTACTTTGAGATGTGAACAACGCCTCTGAATTCTGTTTGCCACAACACTGAATTCCCACTCATGTCAGCAAAACCTCCAGGTACAGTGCATGCAAAATAGAAGAGTTATTTTATGAAGAGGAGACAAATTCTGTACCAAAAGCATGAAGTTAATATTTTGTGCATGTGTGTGATCTTCAAGGAACTGCTTCTAGCTCTGTATGAGTCTAAATGCCAAGTGTTACTCTTTCCACATCAAGACTACTGGTAACTTCCTGAACTGTTAAACACAGACTGACCTCAACTGGAAACCACAATTGCTATTTTAGGCTGAACAACTCAGGCCAAGAAGTTTATTTGTATTTAGTTTGATTTCACTGCTATTCCTGTGAAGGTTTAAAAGCACAAATGTACGCTGACTCATGAGCTTGGCAGTATCAGAAGATCTAAAAGAAGAAAATATGAGCTGTTTGGCACTGAATGACAGTCTAGTTGTTCTATTTACAGCTTTCAAAGCTCACCAATGTTTATTTAGGGGATTCCTTCTGGGTATCACAATAAATCGTGTCAGAACTATACCCATACAAAACTCCACTTTATATAGCCAGTGTGGGGATGGATCATTCAGATTGGGGGGGGGGGGGGGGGGCACACCCACCACACAGAAAATTCTCCTAGCATTAGTTTCCAATGTGACTTTCAATGCATAACGGAAGGAATACTTGTAGGTACGGAAATCACTCAAACCTCATAATGATCTTGAGCCAGAATGATTCCTTCAATGACAGAGAGGAGGAAGTGACTCGTTAAGCCATCTTTACACCTTGTAACAACACAGAAAAAGTTGCTGATGATAGCTGGCTCTTCTGTAAGAGAAAACGTCCAGGCTTAACCAGTTAAAATAAATCATTTACTCATTGTTATCAGAGGAAAAGATGACCAAATAAGAAAGGAAGGAAAAGTTTTAAAAGGCACAGTCTGATGTGTTAAGACACCGGAAAAAATTTCTGACCAAATTTATTTCCAATTACAGAGGGCAAGAAGGACTAAGTTTGATTCAATTCTTGTTATTCCTCTTCACTATACTTTCCCGACCAATAACGAGAACAGCAATACCTGCTACAGAACCAGAACAGAACACTTCATGCTGCTGAGCAAGAAACACAGCTCTCTGGAGCTGTATATATTAAGCACATCTACCTCTTCCTCAACTGGGTTCCCCTGACATTCTTTCCCTGTTGAGACATCAGGATGTTACTAATCCTTCAGCGAGTAGCAACTTTCAAAGCAAAAGCTTCCCCCAAGCTGCAAGGGGAAGGAAAGGGCATTACATAGACACAGACGACCGGCAATGAGAAAATAATCCTAGTGACAGAGAATCCATACAGGGTATATTTATCACCTGATCTCCCACTGAGGAAGTTTTTACCCAAGCTTGCAGCCCTCATGTCCCTGAAAAACAGTTTCATTCTTCTGTCTGTAGCAGGTTTGCACGTGAGAAAGCAGAGAAAGTTTGGCCTGGTGGTTGAACTCTAGTTCACATAAGAATGAATTTCGTTCCTCCTCCATTCTCTCCCCACATATGTTTCCCCATTTGATCCATAAGCCAATAAGCAAGAACAATAAACATTCACCACCGCATCAAAAATGAGCAGACCTTGAAGATCCAAGATCATCATCTGTGATCTTGCTCACAGAAATAACATATCGTCACTCAGCAATGCAAACTAGGTTGAACAATCTTTGTCTTTTCTCATTAGGTTTCATAATGCTTTCTGTATCACAGAATGGTTGAGGTTGGAAGGGAGATCATCTGGTCTAACCTCCCAGCGCAAGTAACGTCACCCAGAGCTCGTTGCCCAGGACTGTGTCCAGACGGCTTTTGAACATTTCTAGGAAAGGAGCCTCCACAACCTCTCTGGGCAGCCTGTTCCAGCACTCAGTCACCCTCACAGTAAAGAAGTTTTTCCTCATATTCAGACAGACCTTCCTGTGTTTCAGTTTGTGCCTGTTGCCTCTCATCCTATCGCTGGGCATCGCTGCGGAGAGTCTGGCCCCATCCTATTGGCATCTTCCCTTCAGATACTTACACACATTCATCAGATCCCCCTTCAGCCTTTTCTTCTCCAGTCTGAAGAGTCCTAGCTCCCTCAGCCTTTCCCCATAGAAGAGATGCTCCAGTTCCTTCACCATCTTAGTAGCCCTTTGCTGGACTCGCTGCAGTAGCTCCATATCTCTGTTGCACTGCGGAGCCCAGAACTGGACACAATACTTCAGATGAGGCCACACCAGGGCTGAGTAGAGGGGCAGGATCGCCTCCCTTGACCTGCTGGCAGTGCTCTTCCTCGTGCAACCTAGGACACCATTGGCCTTCTTGGCCACAAGGGCACACTGCTGGCTCATGATCAACTTGTTATCCACCAGGTCCTTCTCTGCAGAGCTGCCTTCCAGCAGGTCAACTCCCAGCCTGTACTGGTGCATGGGGTTCTTCCTCCCTAGGTACAGAACTCTGCACTTGCCTTTGTTGAACTTTATGAGGTTCCTCTCTGCCCACCTCTCCAGGCTGTTGAGTTCCCTCTGAATGGCAGCACAGCCCTCTGGGCTATCAGCCACTCCTCCTAGTTTTGTGTCATCAGCAAACTTGCTGAGAGTGCACTCTGTCATTCAATGACCTAGATGAAGGAAGTTAAACAATACTGGACCCAGTACTGACCCCTGGGGGACACCACTAGCTACAGGCCTCCAGCTAGATTTTGTGCCACTGATCACAACCCTCTGAGCTCTGCCATTCAGCCAGTTCTCAAGTCACCTCACTGTCCACTCATCTAGCCTGCGCTTGCTTATAAGGATGTTATGGGACACAGCATCAGAAGCCTTGCTGAAGTCAAGGGAGACAACATCCACTGCTCTCCCCTCATCTACCCAGTCAGCTATTCCATCATAAAAGGCTAAATCAAATGAAGCATTATGAAACATCCCTTTGACCAGAGTATTGAAATGAAGATAACAAAAGTTTAGTTCCTTAATCTCAGCTCCCCCAACACATAGATCATTTTTCTGAGTTTAATAATAGAACCCAGTTATTAGTTATAAATTTTCAGTATCTTTTGTTTCGAGCTCAATATTCTTACTGTTTTACTCTGTGGAAATTACAGTCACAGAGGGGTGGAACCGGGCTGTAATGATATCATCTCTTTGGAAATAAAGCTTTACCAATTACCAACCTCATCCCTTGCTCTAGAATAACAGGTTAATGCCTCCCAGTTGTTCTTTGGAAAGGATTCCCTGCGGAATTGGGTTAAAGTATGAAGTGAATCATTGAAGTTCAAGTTTAAAAGGCAGAAGCCAGAAGAAATGGAATATGAAATCACTCCTTTAGGTCAGTACAGAGCATTTCTCAAAGTGCCCATCTTGGGAGCCCAAATACAACCAAGAAGACAAGCTTAAGACATCCAAATTCATATCATTTGTTGCAGGTGAAATTCCTGAACTACAGCAAGCCAACCCACTGGCTCAACATGGCCAGAAATGGAAGGTGTCAATTCCTTTATATACTTGCCCATTTTTCCCTATGGCCAGCTACATGCTACCTTGTGTCATCTCTAGTTCATTAAAAAACCTCTGTGATTTGACCCAGTTCACTAAACTGGCAGAAAAGTATTTGGTTTAAAAACAAACAAACAAACAAACAAATGCCTAGACTGTCTTCTGCTGGGTTAGTGAGTTGAATGAGGGAAGGAAGAAGTCACAGCATGTCAGAGCAAGCACAAGGGGAAGAAAAAGAGCATATGGCTAAAAATGAGTGAAGAAAGGAGTTGCAAGGCTACCTCCTTTCATTGTGATTTTGGATCAATTCAGCCTCTCCAGAAATCAGCCCTTTACACGATCTGGGTCAAAATGTTTTTCTGTGCTTTTCTTTGTTGGTTTCACTTCCAGGCATAAGCATGCTTGCCATCATCCAACTGAACTTTTTTTTTTTTTTTTTTTTTTTTTAAAAGGAGAGGAATACTCAAAGTAAATCCTCAATGTTACAGCACTAACAGATATAGGTCAACCAACCTGAAAAGATTTTAAGAACGTTCAGAATGGTAAGCTGCAGCTTCTGCAATAGTAGGACATTAGCAGGGGGTAAATGTTTCTGAAGAATATGACACATCTTAGATGCTCTGTGGAAAAATTAAAAACATATCATTATTTTCATAACAAAAGTATTGAAGAAAACTTTCATCAACTGAACTATGTACAATTGCAGTCTTCAAGAGACCACATTAAGATTTCAGTATTTACAGTTATATGACCAGCCAATAGCTCTACATCCAATTACATTTGTGTGAACTATTTCTGAATCAGGACATGATACTTCCACACGATACGAAGAAAAAACAAGTTTTCATAAAGGTAACAAGTTATCAGCTTTCTTCAGAAAATAGTTAGGAGTGTCTTAGCAAAGAAGGCACCTTAGCAAAATAAGCAAAATCTTAACCAGTGTTAATCAGGTCTGAGAAGTACTGAGAGCTCACAATACCTCCTGACATGACAGGAAAGAGCAGGACACTCAAAATCTGGTCCCTGACCATTTGCCTAACATATTTGCACGAAGTGCATCATTGAATCAACTTTAGCGTGCTGTTCCTCAGCTGGGCTACGTCAGCAGGACCCGCAGTTCCATTAGCGAGAAATCCCAAAGCTGTTTGGAGCAACCGTCTCACGAGATTCACTCACTGAATATTATTCAAACCCACCAACTCCAGGGGGATAGTTCTGTTAAACGAGTCCTCAGAAAAGGTTTCCCAAAAGCAAAGCTCCTTCTGCTGCTAGATTACATTTGATTTGAGGAATCTGGCAAAAACGATCATCAGAAAACTTATTTGTTAAACTGAACAACTTTATATAATACCCATAGCGCCTACAAGGTCACCTTGTTTGCATAAGTCAACAGCTGATTTAAGTCATTTTCATTTAGTACTGATTCAGAAAGTTTTCAGAAGAAAAAAATCACTTTCAGCACCAACAGAAACTTTCCTTTTCTTCTCCATCTCATTTTTCTTGTACAAACAGCTAATAGTTTCCTGAAATTTCTCCCACTGACCTTGTGCGAGACTGCAAGCATGACTTCACTGAGAAGTTAAATCTATTTTGCTAGCAATATCATTTATGGGCTCAAAGCAAATAAACCCTTCAGGAAGGCAAATGAAACTTTTCAGTTTGAAATGCCTCATCTATGGCTTCCCCTTTGATGGGATCATACTGATTTTTTTAAACTGGAATAAATCATTTAATTTTTCTAGCAATTAGTTTATTATAAATTAACCATCTGATGTAGGTTTCAAAGAGTTAAACTTTCCATAGGAAATATATAAGAATAGAAATACCATTCCTAAATTAAGGGAGCAAGATGATTCTGCATTTACGTAAATATACAGTGACACTGTATAGAAAAATAAAGCTATATGCTTTGAATCCATGTGGCACCTTTGAACCTCTGAACGGGTATTCTAATTAGTCACACAGGATTTTCTGGAAAACATTAAAACAGAGCACAAAATGCCTTGTAAAAATGGGAGATAGAAATACAAAACTAGTAAGTGAAAGGACTACTTTTTACTTTTTTTCCCTTATACTTTTTTTTTTTATTATTAAAAAAACCCCACCCATACACCCCTTTAAAATAGTAACAAACTTGGCAATTGAATTTTAGTCGCTTGAGACTAAAATCAGTTTCTTGTGGAAATGGGTCAATAAGGAAAGAAGCAAATGTTTAATGTTCAAAGTACTAGAGATGTATGTTATTTTCCAATTACTTGGTGGATGCAAAAAGCACACAAAACTCCTTTCAAGATTTCCATATCAAGTATAACTAAGTAGGATTGGGTTAACTTCTTTCTAGGGTTTTTTGGTTTTGATAAATTCACACAGTACCAGAGAGTTTTTAACCTGCTTGATTTTATACAATGAAATACAAAGAACTAAGACAATAGATATGAAGTTAAATGCACACTACTACTGGAATACTTTCTTCTTTGTACCGGGTATGCCCTATTTTCTGGTTTCAAGAGCTCAAAAGAAAATTTTGAGGCATTACTCCACAACTTTGAATTATTCAAATATTAATTCAAGCCCCGAAATGTAGTCACAAGAAAAGGGAAAAGGGCTTTGTATGAATTATATTAAAAAATCTGAATGATAACTGAAGATGTTTCAAGTACAATATAGCTACATTTGGACATAGAAAGAAAAAATAGCCTCAAGGATTCCTTAATATTTAGCTCAACACCACAAGTGACTGTTGTCCACCCATTAACTGTGGGTTCAGTTTTCAGAGCTGCAAGGTTTTTAAACACACTAGTATCTTCACCTATCTTCAAATATTTGGTTCTATAATAATTCCAAAGGAAGCACCTCGAGTATGAACATAGAAGACTAAATGCATCAATAACCCGGTCCACACAGTATAATTTGATACAAAATATGGTTTCACTCCACAGTAAAAATTTGAAATAAAACAGTAATTAACTGCCTAATAAAAGGTGTGACTGAGCTGTTCACAAACACAGAACAGCTGTCATTGCTGTTCCTCAGCACAGGATTAAAACAGGGACATAGAAAATGCTCACCTCATTTCTGCCGTTATATCCTCATGCAAATACTTTAGTAAGAAGACTATTCTGTTCCTGTCATGTTCTGTAGAAGATGGAAAGATCATTTGCAATACCTCTTGCATGATCTCAAGAGTTCTGTTTTGGAACAGATGAGCAGCTTTTCCATGGCTTCCATGTTGTGCACCATCGAAAAATGAGTCAATGACGTCATCTATATGAAGCTCTGTATTGTTTGAGTGCAGAGCTGCTTCTATAATAGCAATATCAGTAATCATATGAAGGAGGCTGTTCTGCAAAACTGAGTCAGCAATATGAGTATTAGTCATGTTTTCTCTGTTAAGATCGTCATCAAAAAACATAGGTATGTAACCTTTTTTAGATTCATTTTGGAAGAGTTCCAGAAAGTCAATAATATCTTTGATAACCAGCAGTAAGTCATCTGATGACTCTTCATTAGCCATAAGGGAGATCAGAATATGCATTATTTTAGAGTAATTTTTAGTGTTACACTCGCATAGAAAGCTGTCCACAGTCTCTTGTATGTCTTCAAAATTTCTTAACATAGCATCAACAGATGATGCATTAAACTGCTGTATTGAACCATCAAGATCCATTGGAGAGGACTGTCCAGTAGCTACCCTTAGTATCTGAAACCCTTGCTCTACCACCATACGTAAATGTCTAACATTAAAATTCACCAATAAGTTTTCTATACTAGTCTCTACACGAAACCAGAAATTCTCGAAATTGTCAGATATATTCCCATTTCTATTTAAAGCTGATAATGCCATAAGCACCGAGTAAGCCTGGTTTCCAACGGGTGATAGTGTTATTAAAGGCTGAACTACAGAGAAAAAAGAAAGGATAGCTTCTGTATCTAGCAATCCAGACATTTCATTGGTCACATTCTTAAAATTAGAAAGAACAGTCTTTATAAGTGACGTTTTTGTGTCTCCACTCAAATTTAGGGCACCATAAAAGTCATTCAGCTGTTCCAGAATAGCTTTGGCTGCCTCCATTTCTGTCGCTGTCACACCATCCAGTGTTTCTACAAGCTGTAAAGCTGCCTCCACCTTCAGTGTGGATGAGCATGTGATCGAGTCTGTAATATTGGCCTGCAGAGGTATAGCATAGGTGGATAACTCATTCCAAAAATCTAGCAGTTCTTTGAGAACTGAGCCATTTAAATGACGGAGTTCAGAAAATTTCAAGAGAAGAGAGTTCCATTCTTTGATCTGATGGAAAAAGCAAGTCAGATTGCGAGTGATATCTGTCCGAAAGTCTTCCTTGGTGCATGAGAAACTGTCCTCCAGAGGGATTAGTTTCAGCTGCTTAATTATGTTAATGACTCCATTGTAAGCAAGAGAAAAATTGCTGTGCACATCAAAGTCACAAAGTTTAAAAGCAGGATCACTCTGAGGTGCTGCTGTCGTGAAAGTCCAGCAGAACACTGCAGAAAAACAAACTGAGGCCTCTGCAGGTTCATCAGGCATATCACTCAGTGCCTCCAGTAACATTAGAAGACTTTCTACTTGATCAGATAATTCTTCCTTGGTGAACTTTGGTATTTTTGCTACCTGAGCCATTATGAAAGTGTATACATCAGTTAGTGCCTCCGTGATGTTTCCATGAGCTAATCCTTCTGTAAGGCTGATGACATCAAGGAGAAGATGGAACATCTCTGCTACATCAGAGAGCTCTTCCTGTTGCAACAGCTGTGCCAGCTGCGTGAAACCAGTCAGATTCCAATTACACAAGTTGTTCTCAAGTGCGTCCCACCAGTCTGGCAACATGCCTAACTTGGAGTTCTCAATGTACAAAGATTTGATATTTTTAAATAAATAATCCACACTCCCCTGGACCTGTTTGAATTGACCTATCAAGAACTCTACATCTGTATTCTCCAGATGTTGCACCAAAGCTACTACATGCTTTAGGAACTCTTTATCACTTCCTATTGGAAAATCAATAAGGGTAGAAGATTTTAAAGTTCTGAATACCTTCTTTAACAGTTCAACATTCAGAGCAGCTGTTTTTATCAGTGCCTGAAGAACTGTGCTGTATTCACCTTGCAATTTACGAGGCAACTTCGAGTCAAGGTAACTAATCATATGTTGAAAGAACTGCACCAATAAATGGATATTTTTCTCATGCAAGAAAGCTTCAAACTCAGTATTCAAAGGCGAGGAGCTGTTTTGCTGGATATCAGTTTTATTTTCCAGGAGAGTTTGAATTTCTGCCAAGAATTCTGTTAAGAAGAGTTGGAGATGACGAAAGGGATTAAGGAGTACACTTGAATTCCTGTTAGATCCATGGATTGACTGAATAAAATGGGTCCTATCTGACGTATACTGCAAGTGTTCCGCTAAATTGTTGACAAGCATTGGTATTTGTCCCCCTGAGTTATTTACAAGTGTAAAAATGAAGTCAAGCACCCTGACGTCATCTTTTCCAAAAAATTCAGGGAGAACGAATTTCAAAGTTTTTGTTATAATATTGAAATAAACATTTGCACAAAGGATATGAGAACTAGATAGGGAACACTCAGGGAATACCAAATTAAAAATCAAATTAATAAAATCCATCATGCTTCTTAGCTTAGCATCTGTCTCAATGTTTCCCAGAGATTTCAGCAGAAATAGAGTATGTTTTGCACTTTCAAGGTGGGAAAGCGACTTGTATTTTTCACTAAGGTTACTAAGGATATGCACCCATCTGCTACAATCTTCTGCTTCACCCAATGTACTAAAGTTCAGAAGGGAATTAAGATGAGAAGAAAGATTAATCGGTGAGTGACTTTTGTCTTTCAGAACATGATCCAAAATTAGTCTGGCAATATTCTGGAAAATTCTGATACAAACCAAATACTTATCTTGAGATATACTTCTTAAGAAAGTACTTGTGTCTTTTATCTCCATGAGAACAATTCCAAGTTCTTTTTTGGAGAGCCTGAGAATAGTAGAAAGTGCGTTTCCAATAGAATATAAGTTTGCATCCCTATCCTCTCCCTCAGATCGTCCTGAGATGAAAGCGTCGAGCCAAGAATTCAAAACACCTCCATTAACAGCCTTCAATACAGACCTTTGAAAATCAGTTATCGCAGCTCCCATAATTTCCAGAACCTCCTCTGAACTGTTACCTGCGAGCAAGCTTGTGACATCAACTGCATTGTTAATTACGCTTTGAAAATTACTAAGGAGAGCTTCAAAATCTTTCCAATCATTTAAATCACCACCTTCAACCATGCTTTTTAATAGATGCATTGCTGTTGTAGCTTCAACAATAAGCATAGTTGTCTTATTGCACACTTCAGCACGAGTTGTATTTAAAAAACGTTCAGAGACATTTGCCAAACCATATCTTAGACTGACAAAAAAGGTTGAATTCAAACTTAAAATTTTGGATACTTCTTCAAAAACCTCTGTCCAGGTTTGAAGCCATATAAAAGTGCAGTGCAAAGCAGAAGCCACATTTATCTCATCTCCCAGCTTTGTTAGGTTAGACAAAACACTGTCGAATGGAAGCAGAAGGAAGTCATAAACCTCTGCTGAATTCTCTACAGAAGTAGCATTTGATAGATAAAAACCAATGCATCCATTATTTCCTACGCATTCTGCTGAGACACCAAAGAATTCTTCTAAATAACAAGAGGCCGCTGTTTGGAGCTCTTTATCCATAAATAAAGATTTAAGACTGCTCAGAGTATTATAGACAACTTGCATCTCTTTGTCTTTCTGTGCTAGAGACTGGGCCTGAAACTCTGTGTAGTTGTAAATGGTTAATAACTTTTCACAGAGAGGCTTCCCAGAGAAGTTCCAGAGAAGATTAAACGTTTCAGACAGAAGATCAAAAACTTTGTCCCTGTCTTGGAAACCATGCCATGCTTGAAAAGATAAAATATCTTTTGAGGTCTCATAAAGAAGCGTTAACAGAGCGCTATTGCTCTCAGTATTTAAGAGCAGATCAATGTTCTGATAAACAGAGAAAAGTATTTGAACAAGTGAGGCCATGCTACCACTGTTTAATTTCTGGATGTCTTTGAAGAAATCAGATACAATTTCTCCTAACTTTTGTACTTTATATATAAAAGTAGCATTTGAGAGCAAGGAGGAGGAGGCATTACTCACTCCATGAATTGTATGGAAAGTTGTATTAACATGACCCTCAGTCATTGATCCAACCTCACGGAGATTTCTTATGAGGTCTTCATTGAAGTGTTTTAGATAGCTCACATCAACAATATTTAACCCTGACTGGTTGGCCAGATTATTTTGGAGCAAAAGCATGCTTCTATTAAGAATTTTTTCATTTTCTGGTATGGAAAATATAGTTCTAGATAGGGTCTCCAGTACCTCTACTTCTTCCATTTGACTCAACCAAGACAGCCTAGAAAAAAGTTCATAGCACACCATTTTCACTGTTTGCCAGAAAAACGCCATCTTCTCTTTCTGCCAGAATCTCTGAAGAAGCTGGAAGTTTTTTAGCAGTTCATTACGGAGTTCAGAAACTGCAGGTGAGAAGTCTGTGGAAGATTCCTCCCTCTCAGCAAAACTGTTCATCCATGTAATTGAATTATTCAGGATAGTTTCCGTAAGAGACTGGAGGTTTGATGGGGCTGAGAAATCAGGTATTGTGATTTCTTCTATGAATTCTGTAAGGTTTAAGAGATGGGTGATTTCTTTTTCACCGGAAATCCACAAGTTTTCTTCTCTCTTCAAAAGCTCTTCGACAGATGTCAAGATCCTGAAACATTAAGCAAGATTTTTTTGTTGGTTACCTAGCAAGCAGACAGAACAGTTAAATATATATTTTACAATTTTAGATGTAAAGACAAAGAAAGTTCAAGTGTCATTTAAATAGCAAAGTAATTGCCACCAGACCTGCAATAGTTCAAGTGACAGTCACTTCAGTTTTCGAAGGCATAACAAAAAACATTCAAAACTCACAGCCAAATTTAAATCAAAATCTGTGTGCAAGCAAATAGCTTTAAAAAAGTGTGCATTTATCAGTAATTATAATCAAGCTTGTAAACACAGCCACAGTAAACCACAGTCAAACATCTTCAAGTATCTCATATGTTCTGCCACTGAAAAGAGCAAAGCTTTCATGCTCCAGACTAATAATTTTATAGAAAGGAATTTATCAATAAAATTTATCAAAAAGCTCTACATTCCTATGAATTCTGAAAAATCATCATAGCTATTGAAAGCCAAAACATTCCAGTTCACCAACTGATAGCTGAACAGTGTTAATATCTAGAAAAACACTGAAATTGTAGTCAAAATTGGGATTCTCCAATGAATGTTTTTGTGGTGTCAATAATATTTCTCAAAATAAATTGTTTTCTCTTACAAAATTTTACCACCTCTATAATACTGGTCAAAATTGAGGTACATGAAACAAGGAACACAGCATTCCAAAGGCCTTAATTTGAGAACAGTTTCTCCTCAAATATGTTTTATTTCAGTAATACAAGGAGAAAACCATACACCGCTAAAAACCTTTCCGAGTGAATTTCCATGTCTATTACTGGAGTTATTCATGCTATTTATTCCTAAGCTGGGACGTTTTGGAAAGAATAAAAAAGCTTTCTATACACGTAAAAAAAAAAAAAAAAAAGCGTTCAGCATGTAGAATTTGTTTTCTAGACCTATGCAGGCCAAAGAAATACCTTGCTCCATGCAAGGATAATGCAAACAAGTCAAGTGATTTTGGTAGTACTACCACACAGAGAAAACAACCCATGCTCTAGAAACACTATTTAACACCAAATCCATGCTGTAGCAAACATGCATGTATTGATCTTTATAACAAATTTGGGAAAGAACACAAAAGAAAAAGCATCTGAACATTCAAGGTATCAATTCACTTTTTTTTCTTAATCCCACCACCACCACCTTTTTTGTACTTTAAATATCAAATACATCTAAGATTTTGAAAACCAAAGCCAGAGTCCACTTTAATCAAGCTACCTAAATCACAGTTAGGTTCTGCTTGACTCAAAAGCACAACATGGCTTACAGGACACTGTTGAACAGTGGGGACAACGTAAAAATTCTGCCATTTATAAACTTTTGTTTCTTCACCTTTCATCGCATTGACGATAGTTATTTCCCTTCTACAGGTTAAGTGATTGATTTAGCAGGGTTATAGCAGCATAATGAAAAATAAAGTTTTGAGTCCAGAAGTATAATTTAAAAAACATTTTTATCTATTAATAACTATGATTGCCAGGCATAGCATGGTAAACAGCTGATAACACTAAATAGCTAAAAGGAGAGGGAGCATTCATCAGCTTGTCTGAAACTGTTCCACAAGAGACTTTTTCTTTTTTAAATAGAGCAATGATGAAATTACTTCTGTTGTACTGTTCATCTAGACATTAGCAGGGCTTTAAGGCAAGTAACTCAGTGATAAAGAGCCACTGTAATAATATATTGGAATTGTTTGGATTCCATCGCTTTGGTTACTACTGATAATATACCAGATGTGGAGGTATCTTTTTAAATACTTTTGAATGACAGCCAAAGACATACCTTTCCGATTTTGCAGGATTACATTTCTTCCCAATAACAGTCTCTAAATGTTATTGGGGAATGTTATTCCCAATCAATTCCCTGAAAAACAAAAGCCACTTGATTTAAAAAAAAAAAAAAAAAAAAAGCAGTGTAATTACATTCAACTACTACAAAAGTCCAAAGTGGAGGTGGGGGAAAAGATTTGTGGCAAATAATAAAAAAGGGAAGTTTCATTGATTTCATTGATAAATTCAATCTTACCGTGCCCAGGAAGTAAATGGGGAATAATCTGATAGGTCATTTTTCAATATTTCTGCAAAACTTAAGATGGTCCTCAGACGAAGCTTTTGCCCCGAACATAGAGCCACTTCAAGTCCATCTGCAGAGAAAAATGTACATTTCATTATAAAATGACAGATCAAGAAAAGTCTTAATGAACACATCTGTGAATAACTTCAACTCCCACTGAAACAATCTGATCTTACAGACTTTTGCAGGACTTGAATGTGAGCAGAGAAGATTCACAACTGTATTCTGCAGCTCAAAGAGAAATCCATAAACTACATTTTAAAAGTAGTAAGTGTGCAATGTTAGTAAAGGGTTTGATCTTAATACTAATGAATGATTTAAAGGAATGAGATGCAGAATCGATAAATATTGGGTCTACATAAGGCTCATCTGTATCAACCAAATCCTTAGAGGATAAAGGAAAAAGAGAAGATATCTTCTGAATTATACATGAACTGCAGAGCTACTGCAGAAGGAAGATTCACTTTATTGTATAAGAGGGCACCTAGTGCTACACTCAGCCCAGAAATTACAGTTAATTTTTTCTTCCTTGGAATTTCAGTAAAGGGAAAACACCCTTGTGAAATTCACTAGTACTGCCTAGGAAACTGAAGATAGCTGGGACTGTAACAGATTAGAAAACCTGTAAAGCCAATTCACGTTAGAACAGTTTACTTCACTAACATATTTCTCCAATTAAAAAAAAAGTAATGCTTATTTTTGCATTAAACTCCACAGAAGCCTGCTTACTGTTGAAGTATTCAAATCATATTTCTGATTAGCTCCATGGATAGAAGAGCAGAGAAGACAAAAAATAATAAATACATTTGGGAGTGGGGGGGAAACAGATCTTGTTAAAGAAAATATCTGCCTTGCGGGAAACCTATCAGCAAACTAACCCAATCAGAAGCTGAAAACATGAGTGGTTTAAGAACGGAAGGATTGGGAACATGAAGCAGGGTGGGGAATAGGGAGGAAAGATACTTAAAGGAAGCAAATGGGTGGTGTTGGAGGAGGCCATTTTTTAGAGCTGTTTGGACAAGCCATATTGTGCTTGTACCATAAACATCTAATCAGAAAGAACAGTGAGATTTCAAAAGCTCTCCCATTCCTCAAGACAAATCTGATATTGCAAAGTTTTCTATCAACAAATGAAAAGGTTGCTTATTCCAGGAGAGTTAACAGCAGTTGGGTCAGGACATCTGGGATTTCACAGGACAACTGGGAAGAAGGAAACAAAGCATGAAGTCCTTGTACTACACTGAAACCAGTCTAGAAATAGCTCTACTAGGTAACCAGATAGTCTGGTCTCCCGTCCATTTACATCCCAGTCTTAAGAAGCCTTCCTGACAGCACACTAGTATAGAGACTCTAACCAGGCACAACCAGTTGGAATTTTTCCCCGACAGAAATGAATCATCAAAAAGTTTTCCATCATGGACTAAAAAACACAGCTATTTCTACCTAATAAAAGGAAAACCAGAGTCAGACTCTGCATGTTATGAGTGTTCCTTGCTTATGATTCAGTCAGAGGGGAAATCCTAAGACTGATAACACCACAAACAAGCACGCTCACAGATGTAAAATCGCCATCTTTTCCCTTTCTGAGGGATACTGCCCTCTAAAAACAGACGTGACACCCATCACAACCACCCTGGAGCAGTGGTGGAGCAGTTTCCTTATCTGACTTACCTGTGGAGCCCACTTCCTCATTCACGTACTGAGCTACTTCACACAGCCACCTGACAAAAGTTGTTAAATCCTTCCAGTACGGGTCTTCCTCAAACACAAACCAAATTTCTTCAAGTGTATTATTAATTCTGAAATGACACAGAAGACAAGGTTACCATGATTAATCCAGTGATTCTTTTAAATTCCCTTGTGAGTACATACAATTTCTTTGCAAGTCTCTTAACTCAATTCTGTTATTTTATGCATACAGATAGTCCTATTGGCTTCGAAGAACTTAAGCAAGCAGGCTAATTGCCAAGTCCTTTGCTAGAGAAGTTAGCAGCCAAAGCTATTGCATCACTAAGGACACCAAGAGCGCTAACATTTTTACTAACACAGATTTGTGAGCAGACACAGAGCGTCCAAAAAGCCTTTTAAGAAACACTGATGAGATGTTTCAGTTCAAAAAGTAACACTTTGAAATGGAAAACAATTATCAAGAATGCTTTTTCTTGTCCTTAAATACACCTATAGCAGAGAAGATGAAGAAGGGGAGGGCGAGGAGGGGAAAACCCTCACTTGTTCCTGGAATGGGGGTGGGGGGGGGGCCCAAAACACCTTGCATAAAAATAGCACTGAGCTTACACCACCTCAGCTTGCTCTGCAATGTTACTTACACATAAGGTTCTTCTGCCGGCTTTTAGGTCTATCAGTGCTTTTGTTGCTCATAAATGGAATACAAAAGCAATCTTGCTAAACCAGTTTGAATGGGCAGGAACACATGGAGATTGGGAAGGCAATCAATCCTTTCCCAACAGCAGAAAGGGGCAGAAAAAAAAATGATACAAGTTTTTTAATGTCTAAGATGCTATTACAATCCACGGGCTTGATCCCTCCTGCCACTGCAGGTCATGCCATTTGTCAAATTCAAACGCTTAGACTTAGTAGTATTATTGCTTTTAAGGCAAATACTTCCGTGAAGTTTCTCACGTGCACAAATAACGTACATTAATATCTAGAATACATAAAATATATGCAGAAGATACCCAAGTTTGTGATCTAAGACAGCTGTTCAGTCTAAGTGCAACTTCCCAATAACTACATTACACTTACTTTTTACTGTCCAGAGTAAAGATATAAGATCCTATCCTATTTTAAAGCATTTTATTGATATAGAGGTTTGCTCTAATATATTCCAATGTAACACAGCTGTTCTAATTTCAAGTTGAGCCACTGCAAATGACAATCGAGTTAAAATTTAATATGATGGTAAAGGAATGTTCTTCCAAGTCAGAAGAGTTACCACTTGACCTGTTCAGAAAGCAGCTCAAGGCTGTAAACCTCCTGCTAGTGCACTAACTTCTCTCTCTTTGAGGACATTTTTTTTCTTTTTTGCATCTCCCAGGAGTCTCAGGTCCAAGTTTCCAAGTTCCCTGAGTAGAACAGTACTGTAGTAGTACACACCAGGAAGCAGACTGAGGAGAAACAGCAGAAAACACTTAGATGCGAGTAAGAACACAAGAAAAAGAAAGGGAGAAATAATCCTAGGTAACCATCTATCTTCAGCCTGTTTCCCTAAAAGGGAAGGGAGGACATCCTCCCTTACCTTCCCATTTATGCTTTCTAGAAGGCTATTAATATTGGGTGGTAATGAAAAAGTAAAAACAGGGCTTTGACCTTTTTAGCTATTCAATTACTGGTCCTAACTGTATGCATAAAAACATATACGAAATACCCACAGGGAGAAGAACAGCTGTTCCTGACAAGAGCCGAAACGGGCATCCTCTGCCGCCGACGGTATCCATGGGCTCAGCAACTGATCAATTTCACAGTAATAAGCATAACTTTCAGTTAGCTGCTCTTCTATTTCTTGCCATCCCAAAAAGTCATCCATTCTTGAATCTGGTATGCTCTGGCGTCCCTGAATTACTTTCTGTAGAAGTAAGACCTTTCACAATAAAGGGAGCAATAGTTCTTAACCGGTAAAAGGAAAATTTCTCCAAGGCTTAGACCCTGCTTCTTAGATATGTACAAGACAATGTTAGTGAAATCGAATATAAAATGGATTAAATCAGCTTGTCTAAAACATCACATCCACTCAAGACTCTCCACAGGTCCACATATGCCTTTCCCCAAAGGGCATCTTAATCATTCTATGTAATTAGTTACTATTTATTAATACTAAATACTAAGCAGAAAGTTACAGCTCCTCCTAATTTACTTTATTTTATAATAGCAAAGTAAGTAAAGCACTGCAAGCTTTAAATATAAAAAGAACTCAGGAATACCTACAGATTCCTTTAGTGACTGGACCTGGTTGCTTAACTTGAGAATAATCTCCGAGTCATTGTTAGGGCACACATATACTGCTGAAACGTCAACGCCATCTGACCCTTGTGGAAGCCTGAGGGCCTTCTCAAACATTGTAAGCACATCATTGCATACACAGGAAGCATTTCTCAACAGCATCTAAAATTTAATGATTACACCGTCACTTTAAAAATGAAATCAGTGTAAAGGAACACATTTAATTCACATTGCATATTAATTTTCACAGTGAAATTTCAAAAAACAGGAAAAAAATGCACAAAGTAAAGTTCAACCAAGATGCTACTAAATAAAAAGTAAAAAAGTTTAGCAAGTGCTTAAAAAGAAAAAAGCTTGCCTCTGCAGCTTTGTTCACATTAATATATAGCCATGAAATAACATACCCGTTTTAACTCCACAAAGAGCTTCTCAATGTCTAGATGAATTAATCCATCTCTTCGGGTAAAGGGAATCAGTTTTTCCAGGTTACGTAAAACTTCTGTAAAGACATTCCCCCCAACAATAATGGGAGCAATTAACCTACAGAGTAATTTGGGAAGGGTAGGTACAGTAGTCACTCCCCTTCTGGAAAAGAAAACCACGCAGGATATGGTTTAAAAATACAGACACAAATGTTCCAGTTTGGTTAACATGATTTCCCTGCCCAAATAACTCGGCTCTTTTTCACAAAAAACATACACAGTCACACTCTGCACTTCTGAGGTGCAAAGACTGTTCCCCTCTAGCACTACCAGTGGGAAAAATCGCCTCAGATAAGGCAGATAGAAAGATTGTCATTCTTACACTGGCAAAAGCATGGCCCTATCCTCTTTCTCCATTATATCAGAGCAACTCCACCGACTTCAGTGAGCTTTCACGAAGAGAAAATGAGGTCCTGTGTGGGACCTCACACTACAAATATAAATGCTGTAAATAAAGTTGGACACTTTTCATATGTTAATGGTTGAAGATTTAGTCAGCAAATTCTTTTGAAATGCAGAAAGGTTGCCTAATTCCCTAAGCATCAAAGCAAGGCTATAGTCTCATCTTTGTGAAACAAGAGGCAACCTTTATACTGCAGAAATGTTACTAGGTTATGTTAAAGTTGCTGAACCCGCAGCATGCTAGAGGTGTGGCTTGTCCCCAGGTCTAGCCAGTGGTGAGGCTGAAGTGAGGATGTATTCCCAACAGGAACACATACATGCATTTACCTGCAATACGTATGTGCCTATACACACAGCCAGCTACACAAGTTGACACAGACAAAAACACTCAGCACTCACACAAACAGCACCAACAGGCTCGTTTGTTCCCCCTCTCTGGTTGACCAGGCTGAAAGTCCATAAATGGGAAATAGATATGTATATACAATTTGGATCCCTCCAGCAGCTGGCCTTAGACACCTGGTCTATCCAGTAGCTGGCCCCAAGATCCCCAGTCTCTCCAGTTGCTGCCACCTGGGCATGCAAGCCCCCACGGCCCACAGCCCCAATCCAGCTGCTGATACAGACCCACTCACACAGATGGACTGACAGACTACAGATCCCTTCCGTAAGTGGACTTAGGCACATCCAGTAGCTGGTCCTGGGTCTAAATCTAAAAACAAGACTTCCTGAACACACGCTGCCCAGTTGCCTCTCACATAGACACAAACACATACAGGTCTCAGTTGACCTCCAGAGCCCCTAATCTCTCCAGCATTTGGCCTGGACCTCCTGGTCCCTCTGGTAGCCAGTTCCTCCAGCTGTCTCACTCTGAGTGACACAAGCATACCCAGCTCCCAAACCACTTGACCTACTCCCCAGCTAGCCTGGCTTGATATTCGCTAGCGACAGCAGGTTGACATGTGCACCTTCACTCGCTCAAATGCTGTGACCACAGACACGTGAGCCCCTGAGACCCATGGTCCAACTCCAGTTGCTGGCATTTAGACTGACACACACACTCACAGACTAGAAAGCCCCTCATCCAGGGAAACGGTCAGGAATGCAGTGTAATGAGAAGACAGGACAGACTGCTGACTAGGTGCAGAGCATGGCTGGGGAAGATGTACTGACCAGCAACCTGCTCACATTCAGGCAGCCCCTTTCATCCCCTTATCCATTTTCCCCCCCGCACTGGTTCCTCCCCAAACCATCTTGATCCCTCCCTTTCTTTCCATCTTTGGTTCCTTTCCTAAACATCCCATAATAAGACCTGTACCATCTCAAGATGCTCTTCCCCTGCATCCCATAATGAGTCACATACCCCCAGGGTCCGGAGAGCCTCTCCCAGTGATTCACCATGATGGGTGTCACTGGACAAGGGGCTGATGGCTCTCCTGTGACAGCCCTGGGAGGAGTCAGAGCAGGTGCTTCATTTCTCTGCCCAAGTTACTGCGTTTCCCCACTTGTCATTTTGCCTCTGTATTTCTTTGTGGGTGTGGAGGTGTGTGAGGTTTTTTGTTTGTTTGTTTGTCTTTAAATGATAAAACCCAACAGAGCAGATAGCCAGCTGTTGTAAATCAGTATATATGTGTGTGTGTGTGTGTGTGTGTGTGTGTGTATATATATAACATCAAGGAAGGTATACTGATTTACAGCAGGTAGAAATGTGTACATCATATTTCAAATCATCCCATCCTAAAAGTAGACTATAGAAACTATCCTGAGTTTTTGGAGGCCACTTGTAGATTTGGGTGCAAAAGTAAATCAGGTTTCACTAACATTAGCAGCTGCACTGGTGGGATTCCACAAGGCTAGGTGCTATAAAAAAAACCCACGAGACAAATGACACATTTTATTTGAACGACCTTATCAACTCAGAAGATCAACAATTAGTTAAAACCCACCTCCAATAACCCAACTTAAAATAGATTCATTTTACCTTGATCTAACACCTCTGAACTTAGTTACATTAATTACTATTCACAGTAGCATTGCTAAATTCAGAATTAGTTATTTTCAGATCCTAAACTTATATTAAATGTCCTAAAAGTGCCTCTAAGCTTTGGAAAAAGGATGCTAAAAGAGTACTTGTTTCCTCATGAAATCTGCTCCCTGCTATGCACTCAGTCATGTTGCTCACTTCTAGTGGCTAAAATATACTTTATAGTTTAGCTCAGTTAGCCAACACAGCTAAAGATTATACTGGATTATATGATTTTCTTGTGCATCAACAAGAGAACTGCTTGCTCAATTACTACTCTGAGCAATCAGCTATAAAAACATTAGGGAAAGGGGCATATACACGTCCCACAGCATAATGGAAGAAAAATGGGCTGCAATATTATCACTGAAGATATAATGAGACCTGAATGACCTTTACTTCTGGTAATGATGCACAATACTAAAATACATAAAATTTGGATATGAGCCTGTGTTCATTTCCAAGAGCAATCTTCATACAAGAGGTTTTTATTTGCAATGTGGAGATATCGAGCCGGAATTGACAAAATCGCATAATTTCATCTCGGACAAAGTTTGCACTCTAAATATACTGTTTACTCATTATCATAGAGTCAGAAGCAAAAACGAGATTAGCTACGACTATCAGGGTCCCAAAAAGAGACAAAAGTATTTTTGGGGTATTTAAGTACTACTGAGCAATACATAAGTTTCCTTCCTACCAATACCTAGATTACAGTATTGCAGTTCACCTTAAAGCCTCACAGAAAGACATCTCACCTTGCCCCCTCCCTTTTTCTTTTTTTAAAAGAGATCTCTGTGGATCCTTCAGTACAATTATATTGGGATCCTTCAGTACAATTATATTGGGATCCTTCAGTACAATTATATTGCTGACCAACTCCTGGCTGTTATGGGTCTGAGCAACTCTCAATCTGAATCCTAGTGCTCCATATAATACTATAAAAGTATCATAAATCTGAGATAATCACAGTTGCTGAACAGATATACAAAAATTTCATAGGAGCTAGTTTATCTTGTTCACTGAAACTGGCTGCTGAAAACAGATTCAGTTTCTTGTATAAAAATAATAATTTCTCTCCATCTTCCCTGAGCTATCCCTTCTCTTCTGCAAATGGTTGCTTCTGCTTCCTTTATCATTAGCCTAGCTTTGTGCCAAGAAGCGTAGCCCCTAGAGGAAGGGGCATCCTACTCCTGCACTCCACAACCCTCATTCAAATTTGTATTTAAAGGAATATGAATGTCTATGTCCAACTCGAGGTTTTGCTTCCCTTGCAATGACTGGCCAGAAAAGTCAAGCTGTATCCAAGTCTAAAACATGACTGATTGCTTCAGAAACACCTCTGACACTTTGAATTTTAATTTGTATTAAACAGATCTTTTCTTGAATTAGATCTTTAACCAATAGCTTCAGCCACCAAAGAGTGTCATATAAGGTGCCGGAGGCAGTTGTTCACTCCTGGTATCAGAGGCAGAAACAAGTACTGTGTGCTGTGTTCATCATTTCTAAGGAAACAGATTTGACACACTCAAGAGCTGTTGTAAATATTTGAGTGTGCTAGCTATATGCATGAAGAATGCATACAGAGCCTGAATGCATTCCTAAAAGGAGAATATTATCCATTATTTATGTTATCCTGTGGCAGCCATTTGAGTGCCAGTGACAAGCAACCACCATGCAGCTTTACCTTCAATGAAATATGAATTCTGTGTTACTACATTCCTTATAGCTCCATCTATGAGAAGCAATCTCTTTGTAGCAGGCCACTGAGGCACAGCCTGAAGCGCAGCCTGCATTCTCTCCAGATACAGGATTCTGCAGACAAAAGAAAAGATGATGATAGAAACACGCAGAGTGCTGTGAACGAAAGGGTCAGGGCACCAAAAAATTGTTACTTTTTGATGTGCAGTCACTAGATCATCTGCTTTGTAGTTTGTAATAGGAACGGTATTGGAGCAGGGCTTCCTTTATAAAGGGGACCCAACTCCAAAAAATCACTAATAAGCTATTAAACAATTTGACCAGTCTCTATTAACAGTAGATAATGCATTTTACAAAAACTTCAGAAAAAAGTTAATAAAAACAAACCAACAAACAAAATAAAGCAAGTTTCTTCTGACTCAGCATTCACTGATCAGTTTCCCAGATGAGAAGTACCACTTGTTTTCATGGACAAGTTCAATTTTTTCATACTAGTTTGCCTGAAGGTCAAAAATGTTAGCGTTATGGAAGATTTATATACAATATCATTCTTTCCTCCCTTTTGTAGCAAAATATGTAGACGTTCTTCATAAAAAAGTTCACCTTCTGTCAAGCCACTTACTGTGTTTAAAAAAAGTTTCTGAATACTCAAGCTGGGAAAAGGAGGTAGTGGCTACTATTCCACTGGAGACTCAAGTTAAACACAGGATTTATGCATCAGATTATGATCTCATAAACATTCATTTACTTTGGGAACATTTTTTGCTTTTTTGTGTACCAGTTCAAACAGGTTTGTTTGGAAATGGAAGGAGGACCACGTCCATTTTATTAGTCAGAACAGAATCAAATGCAGAACCCGATTGCCTCCTACTTGAGGGATGTGCTGTATTAGGCCTTCATGTACAGTATTACCTTTCAGATTTACCCTCAGATGCTGGTTTGTAAAGCATGGATTATACCTCCTACAACGAAGGACAGTTTTAGATGTGAGTGAGCAGAGCTATTATGAGCTGCACCAAATAGAGCCCACCATCATAACTCTTGCAAGTGACACAGGTCATCCGAATCCACAGTTAGGAGGAGAAGTCCAGTCCTGTGCTCTGCTCAGGACCTCAGTGAGGCTAATGCCAGCTCTCATGAACGTTATTTATAATGATGAACATTATTTATGAACATTATTTCTTACAACATTTATTACTTCTCGGTACTTACAAACTTCAGTCATGTTTAGTACCCTTCCAGAAATGGGGTCCTAGCCACTTTATTTTGCAGAAATAACTCAGAACAATTGCCTTCATTTTATTTTAAAATGTGCCATGAATTAAGACGGGAACTGAAAGGTCTCCAAAGTAGAAATCTATTTTGATACTACTATGTCAGTAACCAACTGCTAAAAGGATACTTCTACTGCACTGAAAGATTTGGACAGCTTTAATAAAAGATCAAATCATTCCACATAAATGAAGAACTTACAGCCACATCTTCAAACAAACTGCTTACATTTGCTTGAAGTGATAACAAACCAAACAGGGAACTTTAAACTCCAAGAACTGCTCAAAAGCATTAAAACATAAACAAAACCACAAAAGCCCCCTTAGCCTCACTGCACCTCAAACATGGGCGCATATTTATAGAAATATGTAGCATTATATTGTAATTCTGATCTCTGTAGGTTTCTGCCCAAGATCTCCAGCAAAAATTAACATGCAGATGACCCACAGAACAAAAATATTACACATTTGAAACGCACTGGACTTGCTGTGCCAAAGTAGATTTTTCTACAGCAAACATGCATGAGAAGCATTACTGAGTCACAGCAGCTACTTGCAGGAATTAGACCGTCTGCAAGTCAGGGTAGAGAATTCAGGCTGAGTTCATCAAAACAATATACACAACTGCTGATTCCTATGAGTCCCCTCTAAACTAGGTATGTATACGCCGAAACACCTTTTTTTTTTTTTTTAAGGAATGCATTAAAACAAAATTCAAAGTTCTATGCACTGTCAAATAACAGTGCATATAATTTTGAATTACAGAATATATATATAATTATATATACAAAAATAACTAAACCTACTCCATACTTCCAAACAAGTCATAAATCTGGGGGGGAAAAAAAAAGGAACATGAAAATGAATATCCAAGTTAACTTCAACTTCATAACACAAGCTGCAGAAAGATGATAAGTATAACTTACAGAACATGAGATGCACTATGTCCTTCTGAAAAAGAGACTTCTGATTTCTCATTCCATTGCAGGATCCCTGAAACAATTTTCCTGGCTTCATTGCCATCTAGAAACTGAGACATTAAGTCAGCTATCATTCCTTCAAGTTCAGAAAGATGTTTCTGAGACCTGCTGAACCATTGATGAAATACCTAGCACATTGAAAGCAAAACAGAACATGCCTTGTCTAGAGAATCAAAGCTTTCTTATTTAGGCAATACATGGAAACATACAGACTTTGCATATCTGAGGGCTGTGGCTTGCTTTTGTTAAACATAGACAACAACAATAGTATGCGTTCACCTCAACAATTCGTCTAGGCTCTGAAGCGACCGGCCTCACAGAGGTTAGTTTACAGTAGTTTGGACTAACCTGCAAGTCAGCAGTATAACGTTACATCACACAGAGGCCTTAACATCCCCTGCTGTGCTGTTTTGTCCAAAAACTCGGCGATGGCAAAATATCGACCTAAGACTGCAGCCAAAGGCAGGCCTCCTCAGGCAATTAGTCTTGCTTTCCCTTACAGGACTTCCACTATGGTGTTAGTAGTGGAGGCAGAAGGCAGCAGCCTCAACATATCTGAGCCCCATGACTCATAGCAAGAGATGAAGGAGGCTGCACGCTCCCATCACGTACCCTACAATAAGGCATGCGAAGGCCTGGACAAACCTGCTGACTGCCCTCCCTTCCTCCATGTTATGCTCTCTAAGTGCCAAGTACTTATAGGTTTTCACTACAAGAGATGTCCTGTTCGCTATGGAAATTCCCAGTGGCCAGGTGCTTACAGTACTTGAAGTTGCCATTGTAAGGATATCAGCACTCACCATGCCCAAGGTGATTACTGGATTTTTCGAGACAACAGTACTAACTAATTTTGGCAACCACATTAAACAATGACTTCAAGTCATCGTATATTTGTAATAAAACTTTAATCAAGACAGAAGCCGAAGTCTACATTTCGGATACGGTAAGCTCAATTGTGCTTACTTTGGACTGTATTTCAAGCGTCCCCTAAGCCAGTTTATACACAGCTAATAAATTTTTTTGTGCAAAGAAAACATGTTTCAGTGGAAAAATACCAGCATTAAGGCAGCTAAATAAGTGTTTTCTCTAAGAAACACCTGAATTAGCTTATCTTCTCCACAAAACTACGCATATGTCATCCTAATACAGATCAGTACGCTCCCAGCTGTTTGCCAGAGCAGAATTTTAAGATGCTACACTGGAGATTCACTATCATCCACCTCAGTATACTTTAGCCACTGCTGCTAGAGATAGAGGAGGAATTTTAAAAAAAACAAACAAACAAATGAATTATACATTATATCAGTGCAGTAACCTGCTTTCAGTTTTGCCCAAAACTCTGGCTCAAGGGGGACAGTAAATGGGCCTCCTTCTTTCAGGCCTCTGCAGCACAATAGATTTCACTCTATAAACCCTATTAGATTTCAAGTCTGCATTTGAGTTAATAAGAAAATCTGATTAAGCAGACACATGGTGATAGATTATTTTCCCATTGTAATGATTCCTTGTTAGAAGAGATTACTTTGCCTTATTAGCAAGATGAAAAAAATCATGACAGTAATATTTAGCAGCTAACTCCAGCCTTTTCATTGAGTCACTGTTGACAGCCTACCCGCAAAAAATACGGATTTGATCGTCTGACTTAAAGCGTACCTGTGAATAGAGTCTGAGCTTGCTGACAGAGTGGACAAGATAGAGTTTGGTCTCATGGCATGCAGAAATACAGCCTTCATCATTCTCCCCATTTGCTTCATCACCTGGCACACTAGACAGCGCAGAGCACACAAACTGCTCCAGTGTCTCTTCTGTGGGAATCTGGCAGGGACACAAGAATTAGATGAGCATGTCAGAGAGCTGCTGCATATTCTCTCTCCTATCAACTTACTTACCTGGTGAAAAAGGAACATCACATAGCCTCTTTCAGTGAAAAGAAAGCCCATTTATTGCAACATAATTTTCTGGGATGCATATTTCAAAGTACTGTGCACGCAGAGTGTGATAGAAAGTACCGGTAGTCCCATTAGGGCATTAATACACCAGGGTGAACGATGAGGCTTTTCTACACAAGGAATTTTCTCTCTGTAGCTACACCAGCGTTGCTGCTTTTAGTTCATCATCAAACCAGAACTTAATGTAATTTGACAATGATACCATACACCCACACCAGAATTCTGCACTAGAATAATTACAAGGAAGCAATTTCACAAGTATATAAACCATTGATGTAAAAATCCTTCAGTACAATGATACGTATCAACCAATGATTACATACAGCAGACTAGTTTTCAATTAAAAGTTGATAGGTTTCGGAAATGTGTCAAAAGACCAGAATTTTTTCTCAAAACCTGAGCACTGAACGCTATGTTGAAAGCTTTATTTTTCCCCACGATATAAATTTCATTAAAGCACACACAAAAGTCATTTAGCATATCTTAGTGCTTCCTAATAGTGACTATGAGGTACTTGACATTTTAACTCTTTTCAACTGTGATAGAAAACGTGTTAGAAGTTTCACAAATGTTTTAACATCAAAGCAGTCGGGGAATTAGACACAAAATTCAAGCATCTATCCATCAGGGCTCAGGGCTGACATTGCCCAGGCTTCCACATTCCTTTTCACATTCTTTGAGTGTCTGCAGTGCTCTAATGCAAGCACACAACATGTAACTACCTAAGTTAATCTATAAACAGCTAACAAGTGACCAGATACAAGGCTACAGACAAGTATCAGTTCAGTTGACCACACCAGCCAGAGATCAATTGTGAATGTTCTTGCAGAGAAGTGAAGTTTTTCATAATATACCTACTTGTGCAAATCAAAACTATCTTTATAATGAGAGCTTCTGAAATACAACTCCAGACTATACCTGGCAAAGAGCAAACCATTTTCTAATAAAGATCAGCATGTTCTATTCAAAACAAACTGTGGACTTCAGTAGACGTTCAAGAAATGTTTCAGGTGTTCTGCAGATCAAACCAGACAATCACAACAGTCCACTTTGGTCTAGAGGAAGGGAAAAAAGCTCTCTGGAAAGAGTTTCTCTTCAAAATTTGAGATACTGCTGGCTTATTTGAATAGCCCCATTGAGACAACTCATATCATTCAAGTATAATCGTATTAGGACTGCATACTAAGAAGAAAGGACTCTTGATGTAAGAGCCAAGTTTAATTAAAATACCAAAATATAAAATATAGCTTGACTTTGCATTCAGTTTTTCACATTTTAACATGATAAAAAGATCACATGCATGGTAAGGACAAACAGAAAGGAAAATATCTCAGCCTCTCAGCAACTAGGAAAGTTTTTGATAACTCAAGAAGCTCCCCACTTTTTTTTTTTTTTTTGGGGGGGGGGAGAGCAGAAGTGGGAAGAAAGCAGGAGCAGAATACACTATGCTTTATAATTAATGGCAAAGTAAAGTGATTCATATCTCATTACTGCAGTATTTAGGTAACAGCTCAGCAAAATGCCTAAGCATTTGGCTATTTTCAGATACAAACATCTGAATCCCACTGCATCTACCCAACGAAATAACTAACAAAGTGCTTCACAATACTACAGTGCCACCAGTTACCAGTTTGCAGCCACGGAAGATGACAGAAAACCTACCCAAGTTCATTTCATAAGGTTTTATTTAGAGAAATGAATTTCCTCCGCTTGAAGACAAGCGGCAACTGTATTTGAAATGTTTGTCAAGCAGAATATATCTGAAACATATGACGTTGACAGCACCGTCTAACAAATATAACCTGGCTGAAGATCTTCCTTGCATTTATTTTAAAGTTTTTCTTCTTTAGTAAAGGTTCTTTTGTGTCCAGAGAAAGTAATATTTTTACTGATAAACTGTATCATTTCAGAAACTAAATACTTTGAGACTCAAGTAAAAAGTGATTTAATTAATTGAACTAGGTTACACCGGTTTTTGCCCAAGTTTTACATACAGAAGAGACTTCCTGGGCAAAAAGTGCCTAAGGCATGACAAAGTGCTAAATGAATTCAGGTAGTTTCAAATCCAGAATTTATTTTAAAAGCTTAATGGACCAAAAAACAGAACTCCTCTACAGGATCACATAAAGAACTCGGGACTTTGCCATGCTCAGCCTCAAACTGCAGCAGCATTTACATTTCACTACTGTCTTCAGAGAAGCATAAATTCATTAATGCGCACAACTAGGTCTATAAGCACCTTCATGTGCAGAATTCCCAGTTGAAGCTAAAAACATTTATTTTGTTTTGATAGGAATAAAACTAGCATATTTAGCTGACTTGTAGCTGCTTCACAAGTTTTCATCCCGTCATTTACTCCCTTGCTCCTCTCCCAATAAAAATTGTTATCCGTCCTTTACACCTATACTTTTTTTTTTTGCAACTTATTTAATTCAGAATGGGTTACTTTGTCACTTGTAAGGGACAAAAGCAGTTATTTTAATTCTATCTGCAGCTTCTGCAAAGGAACATAATTTAGAGGGGCACCTCAAAAATCTAACATGAACATCATTAAATAACGTGGGTGTTTCCTAATACAAAAAATATTGTTGCGTATTTATAGATGGCTTCAAGTGATTCATTACGCTCTCCAATTAGTTAATCATGAATCACGGTACAAATGCTTGCTGAACAAAACTTGCCAAGTTTTGATTTAATTTTCAAGACAAGACCAGCAACATTCACTCAAGTTACTTATGCTACGGCAAACACAATGCTGCTTTTGTCTGCCCTTACAAGATATTGCTATAGTTTCTGTAAGGCATGAAAAATACCTTCAGGGTACAAATAAAAAGGTGGTGGTGAAAGAGACACTGAAATTTAAGTGGTTTACCTCAGGTAGCTGTGATGTGTAACTCAGAAGCTTTTTAACACGAAGATCATCAAAACCAAACCTGGATTTAAGTTCCACTCTGACAGCATGTGGATCCCACAACACATCCCACAGAGAAAGATTATATCGAAAACCTAGAAGAAAAAACAAAAACATCAAAACTTTATTTTCATCCTTCCTGCTTTTTAAGTTGTTCTTGATTCATGTTTCATTAGATACAACCACCATGCTACCAGATTAGAGTGCACATGTACTCAAACACTGGTTACATTAAAATAAAATCTATGATCTTATTAGTAGTATGGTGAGGTGAGCTAATCTGACAGTATTTAGCCAGATGTCAATGCAACGGTGAGATGCCCTGTGCAGACTCAGCAGAGTGCCATTCTGAACTGTGTGTTTAGTTCAACATGTAATCACGCAAATATGTGCATCTGGGCTGGAAAGGGAGTACTACTGAGGGGGAAAGAACCAGGAGAATATCAATTTGCACTATGTAAAAAGGACTGCATAAAGGTGCTACTTCTGCACTTGGTGTTTCAGACAACAAAAAAATTCTTGGGGAGGGAACGTCACACCTGAACTGCAGTCAGAGGTATGCAGTAAAGGAAGTCACTCTGCATTGCTTTTATTACTTCACAAGCTAGCTAGAATATCAGTGACAAACAGGGCTAACGATCCAGTAGGTACCCAGCTCCCTCACAGGTTTCTCTAACCTACAAAGAAACCCATATCATTGCAGAATACCACTGTCATAAGAAATAGACAGATAACACGCTCAAGTCTGCCCACTTGACTGTCATCGCACCCATTAAATGCACTACAAATCAACTTTTTAGCATAAAACTGTGTGTATTTTCAAGCCACATCCAAAATTTTCACAAATATCTGAACATTTGGTTACACAAGCATGTTGTACGCTGCAGTTATTTTAGCCTTTAAGTCTGTAACATGCAAGAAACCACAACTGCAACTTCACACAAACAAAAATATATTTAAACAGGCTGTAGCTTTCCCATCTTTCTAATCCTTATCTGGAGTTTCCATCATACCTTCTCTTTCACAAAGCCAGTATTTCCTCATACTTGCGAAAGCTGTCAAAATATCCTCCCTATCTTTGGGTTTACTTCTCAAGGAAGTAGCTAGAAGTAGTTCTACACAGATCAAGCTATACTTTTGCTACAGCTCTGAGGGCAACCAGCAAATTCAAAATGCCAGTCAGCCATATAGGGACTCTACTATAAAGCCACCTGGCACTCATCTCTGTTTTGATTAGCTAATTGAAATTTAAGGCACATGAAAGAGAAATAGTAATGACTTAAGCCCCAACTCAGGGAATTAGAGATCACCCACCATGCAGCACATCACCTTTTGATAGCTAAAGTGATACTTAGACCACATACAACTCTTGGGCTGACTTTCCAAAGAAGAGCAGGCAGTTGCACCTAGAATCTAATTGCACGTCTACAATTTGCAAATGAAATTTGTTCCTGACCTTATCTTGAGGAGCCGTCTTGGGCTCAGCCTCTGTTCTCCAGTACCACTCATCTCCCACACTCAAGCAGCAGATGGGATAAACGTAGCCCTAAAGCTTAGGCTAGAATTTGTGGTAACAGAAGAATGAAGGTCAAAGAAAGACAGCCACAAACACGTCACCACGCATGTCAAACCAAGAGGCTATGCTTTGAAATTGAAGGGCTAGCCTAAATCACTACAAAGGAAACTCTTCAAAATGCCCCACTGAAAGATCATTCTAAATGTGATATATTAAACTGGAATGCTGCTTTCTTAAACCATTCCCACAGGCTGATGAAATTTAGTTATTCGGATTTTAAAACAGATAAAGAAACAGGCAGGCACTACAGCAATAGATATCAATTCTTATACCTTTTAGATTGTGAATTTAGCAGGAGCTCAGACAGTTATTGCTATCATATATTCCTATCATGCTTACAAGGTATTTAAAAGAAAATTAGAAGCAAACTCCTTACCTTCCAAGCTCCTGTCTTGCAAGAAGCGCACTGATGCGGCAGTTAAATTCAGTGTTATTTTCACCACTTCATAGAAACTCTGGCCCAAAGGCATCACAGTTAAATCTTCCAAGGATGCTAAGGTACTGAAAATGAAGAAGGTAAAAAAAAAAGAAAAAATAAGTCATTTAAAAAAAAAAAAAAAACACAAGCTCTGCATACACCCAGAAAAACCAAAAGAGTTTTTCAAGAAAGATGAGGCACGAGTGACTAAATATTAAATATATATTTAGTTTTGAAGAAGTAGAGTTTTGTCAAATTAGGTTTTTCATGGAAAAACGCATGTCAAGGTTTTATATTTATGTAGAGTTTCATCCAATTTCCATTAAAGATATACCAACACTCATAAAAGAGAGGAAAAAAAAATCTGTTAAAAATAAGAACAAGTGATAGCAAACACATCAGCATTCTCCCAGTCACCCCCGCACCAAGACAAGATGGATTCAGAAAGCTTATTTCACCCTCCATTCAATCTACAGAGAAAATAAGAACCTTAGAGCAAAAGAGCACTTGCTCTCACAAAAAATTTAAACAAAAAAAATTATAGAAAACATTAATAAAAATATATCTGAATTTCTTGCAAGTCCCAGTTTCACTCACCTTAGCTGCGATGCAAGCTTCCTTGTTAACGTAGCTGTAACTTTATTTAAAGTTTACTGCAAGTTTATCAGTTATTTCCTACAGGGTATTCTTTTGAAAAGCAAATAAATTTAAATAAAAAAAATCTAATTGGTTAGATAGGATTGGTAATTGCATTAACACTGTTATTTCCAACAATTGCAGGAGGGAGAGGGGGAGAAGCAGCTTGCCCAAAGAGGTGTGGAAAGGGTACCCCGCAAAGGCAGGGGGGAGATTAAAAACACAAACAGGCACAAGGCAAGGGGAAAAATTTTGTAAAATTCTTGGGTTTGGTTTGTTTTTTGTAGCCTTCCCCCCCCACACCCTCTCACAGCAGATTAGTGTCTGCTGTGCACCTTTGAGAGCCATAGCAAAGATGTACAACTTCTCCTACTTCCTAGGCTGTACCATTCAGCATCTCTCTCCTGACAAAGTTTTACCTAACTAGGACCTCTAGAAATATGTTGGAAGTATGAAGTCAGTCAAGAGAGGAACATTAGTTTCTCCGGTTTGTTTCCAAATTGGACTATTTATGGCAAATTCCGTCATTGAAGGGCACCAAAGTATTACAGACAGATTTACACATTAGCCACTTTTGTTCATTTGTCTTATAATCCTCAGGGGATGCCCTTGTGCAAGCCGTGTGACCAGTCACAAGATGGAGAACCGCAGACAGCGTATGCTGTGCTCCCCATGCCCAAACGCACTGGCGCTGGGGTGGCTCCAGCTGCCGCTACTGCACTGTGCTTCCACGGAGCTGCCGCTGCTCTTCCCAGTGGGGATCAGCAACGCCAGCAGCAGCTGAAAGAGGCCAGGCATGTTTTTCTTCTTGCTATACAGCTCAGGAGAAAAATAATTGCTAAGATTATATCATCAGATCAGTGATTTGATCCGGCAGAACAGCCAGTAGTTGCTGTTGTTTCCATTATTGCTGTTGAAAAAAAAAAAAAAAGAAAAGAAAAGAAAAAAGAAAGAGGAGACATACACAAGAAGAAAACATTCCTATCCTACCTGAGGAACCCTAGGCCTCTGTGGGAGCCCTCAAAGCTTTCAGAAATACTTTGCTTTTGAGGTATAAGCATTGCAGGCACAGCTAATACAGCTTTGCGTGTTAATGGTTCATAGAATAGGCTAGAATAAGGTTACAAGCTACGTGGGCACGAAGTAAATAATCAAGGCCTGGCACAGTCACAATTCACAGAGTATAATCAAAAGTGACTTATTCCTCAATTTCAAAAAAAACATCCTTCATACCATTTTTATTACAAAAAAAGACTGAGATGCTAAGGAGCGACAGAACCAGCACAGAACATTTCCCACTCAGTCTCTGGGACCCTGCCTTCCCGTAGGATTAACGCAGAGTGAGCTGCTGAAGTTCATGGCCTGTCTTACACAAGCAGCCAGCCTAGCTTGCCTCCCCCAGCCTTACCTGTTAATTTACCACAGCATCAATTACCTATCAATTCTGGCAAATATATTTCCGACTTCTACCTAAAGATTCCCTTATTTTGGTAAAAGTCCCTGAAGCTATTTTTCCCATTTTGTGTTTTTGATATCCTATGCCTTCCTCTGAATCCAGCTATCCTTTACCTGAGGCAGAAGACTCCTTTCAAACTCCGAATACTATCTCCACAGGTTTTTTCCTACTGCTTACTCTCTTCCTAGACAATAGCCAAAACTATGTTGATAGCAAGACGCTTGAGAAATAAAAAATGACTTAATTTTCTTCATATCAAACAAGTGCTAAACACATTAAATTGTGTAGAATCCAAATCATGATTTTCTTATATTCAGTACGTAAATATTCTGTCTTCTGAGGAATCCCAAAGCACATGACAAAGTTTAAAGTCATTTTATGTGATAGGATCATTTGAGCCACTGCTAATATGAAACTGTTTCTCTGAGACTCTTGGGGAATCTCTACTGAGCCAGCGAGAGAGATTAGAGATACAGTCATAGAGGAATCAGAATGGGTGAAAGCTCCTACCTCATCTCTATGAGAGCAGAATCCAGTTGACAGAAGAAAATCTCACCATCTCTATACTGATAGGGCAGCTTTTATTAAGTAGGCTGGGGGATAACACAGATTTCAACTGAAGTATTAAAACAGAGCACCTTAAATTAAGCAGGTACTAGTACTTACTTTTTAATAGCCTCGAGAAACTGTGCTATTGCTTCTAACCCATCTTTTGTGTAGAAGCTGCTCAATTTGAGCTGAGGGAGTGAATGCAGAAGGTCCCAGAAATGGGGTTGCTTGTACAGGTTTTCTATTCCAGAAATCATTTCCTCTGCTTCATTCAAATCCATCTTCATGCGAGGAAAAAAGGAAGTGTCGTATTTTAATTTTTCAACAAGGAAAAAAAAAAAAAAAAAAACTAGCAGCTGCCTGTAACTTGCCCTACACCACTCCTTCTGAACTCTTAGCCCTTTAAGATACTTCCTCAGGTTTGGAAACGTACCTCTAGCTTTGGTAATTCACCTTATCAGTTTAGTGGTACTTTGAACTTACGGCTGCTTTGTTTAAGCTATATATCTCCGCTCTGATGGAAGATGGAGTTGGGAGAAAAGCTAAGCTATCTCTTTCTGATTAGAAGTGCAACAAGATATGCTATACTCTCTCCCAAAGAGAAGGGTTGTTTTGAGAGCCAATATAGAAAGATCTCTTTAGCCCTGCAATGAATCCTTAAATATAGGGAACAAAGACTAGGTTTCTGCCAGGCACATCCCATCCTTACCTTACAGTTCTTCTCTGAAGAAAGAAAAAAAAAAATACTAAAAAATAATTGATGAGAATTGTTTAAAGAGGAACTGACTGGGATAAAAAGATGTATTTTACAAGACTGTGCCATCAGGTGTTTGTGCAAAATATAGGATTTAGCATAAATTATGCAACCCTTACTTCTCTAACTGAACATTTCGTTAGGGCTCTTTTGGATAACAGTCAGCAACATGAGCATAGTTTACACAAGAAGCTTGCATATACAGCCTCTGTAACTAATACCAATAGGCTACTTTCAACAACATTTTTTAATGTTGATGAACACAATTGTTTCTATTTTAAACTCCATTCCAAAAAGGAAATTTCACATTGATACAGCTCCTTTCAAGCAAGTATCACACAAGCAATTTAAAAATGCGATGCTATTACAATGCCACCTAATTCCAAATAAATTGGAAATCTAGATTTCATGAAGTATCAGTTGCAATCACTCAGCTATGTAGAAACCTCATTTTTAAATATTTTTGAAGTGAGGTTGGTGATCTGTACAGAAGTGACAGCAATGGAGATCCATCACTGTGCCTAGTCTTCCTCTTTCCATGGGGATTGCTAACAAATTGTGAAAGACTGAGGTGTCAGAGACTTCACAGAAAGCACACCTTTTCACATATACCGCCAAAGAGGTTCTGGAAGGAATTATGCTGCATTTTGTGAAGCTGCCCTTCCTTCACCCCTACTTGAGTCTGCTTGCCATATTTACTGAAGCACAAATCTGAATTCAAAGTAATCTCCTCCAAACTTCATCCTCATCTTTTCAACCTGTTTTCTCCTTCCTTTTTTTTTTTTTTTTAAATAAGCAGCACACATTAAGATAAGAGTGTCTTGTAAGATATTTTGTAATATGATTTCATACAGCTACTCAAGGTCTGGCAGATGCACTTCTCTAATTCTCTTAATAAACAAATAGCCTTCAAGCAGCAATGGTTTTTAGCTACTAACAGCCTAGACTAGTTTAAAAATCAATAATCTAGCAACCCGTGGTTCTTTATCAAATTTCCAAGATATTTTTTCCTTCAAAAACACACTAATACATATATTTTTTTGAAAGATATGTTGCTAAAACTTGACAGAATATGAATTTCTAACCATTACAATAAAGCTGCCTCAAAATCCAGAACTGCAATTTAGAAATAAACTGTAAAAATACTTACGGTGAGAAAAGTGGTGCTGTTATGGAGACCTGTAAAATCAAATATTTTTCCTTTAAAGAATGGCATTATTAACTTTAGAAGAATCCATTTTATAAGCAATAGCAAGTAGTACATACAGGGCACTTCAGCTGGAGAAAATGGGCTCGTAATACCCTGGAAAGCTAGTGGTGCACTGATTTTCTGTGCTTTTCAGTGTTTTTACAATAGTTTGTGATAATAGTAAAGAAATTGTTTACCACTCACTCATCAGTAAGAGAGAATCATCACGTCAACTGCCAGATGAACGTACTAGGCCCAGATAGCGAGGCATGAAACTGCCTGCTTCACCCAAACCTTTCTGCTTTAAAACTTCAGCCCAGAAGGCACAGCAGGAGAAGCATGCTGCAAGGCTGCTCAGCACGCACGGGAACAAAGTGGAAACCTCAGACCTCAGTATTTCCAGTCTCCATCTTTTAGTGCAAGACTGATTTATCTGCCTAAGGTCACCAGGTATTAACTGGTGTGGTTTTCTACCAGTCATATACTCTCTAATATAGCATAAACACCTAGGAGAAAAAAACCTAGATCATTCCCCAGACCAATATACAATTCTTCTTAAATCCTGCTGGCTACATTTGAATGCATGTTAAACTGAGTAATTGAGTGCTCAGATCACTAATCTTTATTTTCAACCTTTCCCATACACTATTTTATTTAGTAGTAAAACAAGGAAACAATTTTAGAAAGCTAACTTTTTTTGAGAATTTTATGACAGCCACAGTAATAGCAATCATAACTGTGACTTTTTTCTAGACCAGCTGAAATTGGGGGGGGGGGGGGGGGTTGGGGGGGGGAGTTACTCTATTTATAAAATAAAAGTATTCTGGTTTTCACTATCTCATAAGCAAAGCAATTCATTATTAGAAAGATAGTTTACCTGAAAATTTCGAGTCTTCCTCCCACAGTTTTTCTAAAGCCATGACTTTCTCTGTGGTCTCAATAAATCCCTTTGCAAGATCTTGTATCTCCTTCACGAAGGCTAGATCAGGTCCTATAAAGCTCTCAGGACCGCCTTGGAAGCCTGAAGTACTTTTCACAGAAAGAGAGAGAGAGAGGGGTTGAAAAATTACAACTTGGAAGCAAATAGCTGAAAGATCACAGCAGTATCACCTCACAGCAATATTCAGTTTGTTTGTTTGTTTTAACTATTATGCATTACAATTCATATTTTGTTCAGTTCATTAGCATATGAATCACATTACTGAGTCAAAACCTCAGGAAGGAGGACAGTGGGAATTGCTATGCTGGAGCAGCTCACCTATACCAATAACCCTATTCTGGCAGCAGTCGAGGACTAACACATCTAAAGTAGTCTTTGATATGTCTGAATGCACTGATGCCTTCCTCCTGGTCTATTGTGAGTGCAGGGGATGCATCTTTCACGGCCCGTACCATGAAGTTCCAGCTTTCCCATCGCATCTAAAGGCAAAATAACACACGTGCTATCCACAGCATGATGTACACCCAGTGTCAGCACAGGGAATAGGGATAAGCCCTTCTTTCTGGGCCCTGAAGAAAGTTGATGCTTCCTCTTCAGTTAGTTTACTGAGCAACAAACAGCAACTACAATAGTAACTCTGCCATCTCAACAAAAACGCAGCAACACTAACGCTAAGCGCATGCCGATTCCAGATGGCGTGCCCCTTCAGGTACCGTTCTATTTGAAACACGAGCAGAATGACATCTGTGGTTAAACACTTTTGCTTTATGTCAACTCCCACATTAAAATACTAACACAGCATAAATATACATGCAAGTTTTGTCCTGGATTTATAGACACACCTATAAATACAGTGCTGATCCAGCTTTTCATGTTCCTTTGGAAACATGATATGAAGGCATATAGTAAACCTGTTGTTGTGAAAATCCATACAGTTTGTATATGGCCTATTACAGGGGTTTTTTTGTTTGTTTGTTTTTAAACTGCATACAACTTACTTCTAAAGGCAGTATTATCACTGCTGGCTTTCTCCTGATTTTAACTCAGAAAATTTCTACTAAATTCATGGTTTATGCTGTCTATAATACTACCATCTGGTGGCTACTCAGTAACACAACAGTTTTCATTTCAAGGTGAAATCAAAAGTCAAAGAATCTTATACTTCTCTTTACAAAACAAAATTACTTACACTATCCCAGGGCATAGTAAAAAAACTGAATAATGATCTCTAACATGTTACTAGGCAGCAGGATTCTGTTTTATGTTACAGAAAGTTCAAATGATCTTACGATGAATCCCTGTGCAGTAAAAACGTTGCTTTTTTCATTAGATGCACAATTAGCTGTTGGATAATCCCCATTTAAAAATAAATAGAGTTCCATTCCTTTCTTGCCAGACCTATACGTAAATACTGGCTTTGGCACAATTCTCATGAAAATGGTAAGACTGAGATTCACAAACCGTGTATCTAAGCAAAAAAAATCTGCTGCTGTCCTCTGATTCCACTCCCTAATTAGGCTGATTCAGTTTATCCCACTTGATCTCTTCCAGCTAATTCCTGCCAACGTTACCATGGTCTTAGTTAACTAGACGTCACCACAGCAAGTCCCACGAACAGCACCTCGAAAGCAATGTAGTTCAGCGCGAGGAGCTGTGCTTCTTCACAGTTATCATCAATGCTCTAAGTGAAAAGTTTCAAACCACAAACCGTTGGACTTCGATCATACAAACTTTCCGCAGCAGTGGTAACAACTCATATAAAGTCACGCAAACCTAAGGGCCACTTAGTGAACAGTGACAGGAAAACACATACAATTAACTAGCAGAGATCAAGGCAGAGTCCTAAGAGCTGTATACAAGAGCAGGAGAAGATAATTCAGTGTTGAGACTCTAGGGACAACAGACGAAGCGAAATACAGATGATTTCAAAAAACTGTGCATTACTGTTAGAAGACTGTACAAAACACTACTAGAAGTTAGGTTATTGGTTCTGCCATAAATGGGAAATTACTAAGGCCCCAAAGAATTATTGAACTGAGACAGACAGTTTGAGACCATCTACCAATTATTTTGCCTTTGCATCTTTTTTAAAACTTGAAAAAAATTTGATTCTATAACAGGCTATAATTAAGAGTAAAATTAAACACTGTAAGAACTATTTAACTTGAATAATTTTTATCTGACCTGTGCTTCTTTGCTCAGTCCGTATTACTGAAATGTTTTCTTCCTACCAATGACTTAAGTCAGAGGATAAAGCCAAAGTTACAGGTTATGTACAAGTTTTGCTTTTTAACTGGATCAGATAGGTCTAACGTCCTCTTAAAAAGCAGCCACAAAATTATAGACAGATGAGGAAGCTTGCTGCTCCTCCTCTCCCTCCCTGATTCTCTTCCATACACCCCCAGAGTGCTCTCCAACTTTTGAGTAAGGGATGAGGAGAAAATTTAATCTTAAGACATCCAGCAAGCTCTTGATTGTCTCAGTGCAGCTTATTTGGAGGCCGGCTTGGCTGACAGCCAGTAGGATTTGTAGAAAACTTTCACAAACCTCACACTTCAGTGGATTAAGGGCAGAACAATTCCCCCACCACATTTTTTCTTTTAAATACAGTTTTAAAAGGCAGATTCCTGTTGTTCAGACATAGGGAAGCTTTTAGAGTGATTAATAGCTGCACTTTAGCTATTGCTTTTCCAAACACCACATAATTTCCAATATTACTAACACACCTACACCTAGAAATTTCTCACAGCTATAAACATTGACATTTGAAAACGAAGAACCGGAGCGCTAACTGCACTGAAAACTTTTTAGCACTGTGCTTTTTGAGCACGAGCAAGCAGCCAGCGCTCGACCCACGGTAACAGCCACATCAATGAGAACACAAATCCAGCCAGAACTTCAAAAAGAAAGTGCTCTTGTTCAGTTTTCACAGGATTTTCCCACAGAAAACTCATGCCTAATACTCGTCTCATGCCTAAACTTTAAATTGGCAGCTAGGCTCACAACATACAGTCACTTAACACAGTCACGAGTATTTTGAGGTGTGCAGCCTGAAGGCAGTATCATAGCCTCGCATTGTTTTCCCTCCAAACTAGAGGCAAGTCTTGCATTCCCAGGTAAAATCTCCCCATTTTAGAGGCATTGCAAATAATACCGTTCTTAGGGAAAAAGGACACCTCTACGCATGCAGGAGGGTTGCAGGTGCTGCCTGACCTCCAGCTTCACACAGGTGCCAGTGACAGGGTGCAGCTAATAACACCCGCCCCTCCTGCCCCACTGCTGACTCCGAGCCTGCAATGCTCGTACTGATAAGGAGTACGGCAGCAGAAAAGCACGGCATCTCCTTTTATGCACTGCTGCCACCTTTTTAATGCACTGCAGAAGCACATCTGATTTTTAAAGAAAAAAAACAAAGGCAATCTGGGCCTGGAAACCATCTGGCCTCATGCCTGCCGTATGAGCACATCACCGAGGGGTTTTGGGGCAGGAGCAGAGCAGATAGCAGTCGGTGGGTAACAGATAAGCAGTCTGTTTAGCACCAGCTTTTCAAATGAGAAGATAACTTAACAGCCACCCCACTTTCCTCCCCCCCGCCCCTGACAGAGAGAAAATGCTATCTGATATTCATCACTTACTTTCAAAATGTCCCCTCAATACCTGTAAAGATTCCCCTGAACTGTGAAAACGAGCAAAGGCTTCAGCTCACGCTGCCCGATGCTCCGTGCGTGCCCGTGGTCTGCTGGCCGGGCCGGGGCTCTCAGCTCCCCCTTACTGCTCCCCTGCAGCTGTGGTCCCTTTCTGCCTCCAGCCTAGATGGCCGGGGAGACGTGCTGCTCCCCTGTGAGGGGAAAGGAGGGCACAAAACTTGGGGAAACACGCAGCCTAGAAACATTAAAGAAAATACCTGGTAGGTCTTGGGAGCGCAGCAGCTTTGGAGAGCTCTAGGGAGAAGTGCAGGGAAGCAAGCTGATAGTGAAACTGCAGGGGGAGCTGGGAGGTGGTAGAGGGGGGATATAGGTATTCAGGGTGTGGAAGAAGGTTCAAAAAAAAAAAAAAAACAAACAGGGAAAAGGCCCAACTATTACAGAAAAGCAGGCAAGTGCAGTCCGAGAAACTCACAGACCCACTGCGCTTCCAAACACAAGCCTCCTCGTAGGAGGAGAGAAGCCACTTGGGACCTATTGTTCCCAAGCTGTTAGTTTAGGGGGATTTTCATGGGAAGCACTGTGTCGGGCAGCTCCCTTATGCTCCCCTTCTGTCTCTTCACTGCCCCAGTCCCTTCTCCAGGGCCTCCGCAGAACCTCATTTGGAAGAGGAAACTGTAACGCTCGTGATACTTGTTATCACACTCAGTTTTATAAGCCCATTTAAAATATTGCAAAACTTCTATTTACTGAATGCCTGTACTAAGTTTTAAAGGTTTTTTTTTATTATTATTTATTTTAACGTTGTAACAGGGGCCATATTTATTCCCTAGTGAGAATGCTAAGAGGTATTCCTAGTTTCACAGTTCTGCACAAGTTAGACAAAGTTTCACAGAAAAATATTACTGTCTTGCTAGAAGAGATTTGAAACCAGACTTCAAAAGCAGCTGCAGGAACAGTCAAAACAAGCAGTTTTCAGACAGTTTACCAGCCAAAATAATGAAGTGTTGTACAATAGTGCTGTTCTCTCAGAGAGCCTGCAATAGCTGTCATGCTTTCAGGGGCAGAAGAGGGACACTAACAGACTCACGTAAAGGAAGTCACCAGCAGCAGTTGCTAGGATCAATGAAGAGGGAAACCAAGGGATGACACAAATGAGCATCCCAGTAACTTGTAAGAGAGGACATACATAACTAGGGTTTTAAGGAAAGGTATCTATTTCAACACCTATGGTAACTCTTCCCTTAATTGTGCCTTTCCACAAATAGTTTGAAGACAGACATCTTTTCAAACTACTGAAAACACATCCATGTTAGCTTTGACCATGACAAAACACTGCAAAAGAACAAAAAGTCTCTGTATCACCTGAGCGCATAAAAGCTATTGGCTTTTCCTAAAGCTATGACTCAGAAACACAAATTCTGTCCAAATCATCGAGTAACTCAAAATGAGAATATTTCAGAGCTCATCTGAGATCTGAGCTATGATGCGCGATGCCATTTAAACTGGGAATTTTCATAAGCCTCCCAGCAAACTCTCGTCTCAACCTGACCCCTGCTGCTGCATTAAAAATGTCTCTAAAATAGCAAAGCCTCAGCTGTGCTGGCTCCCATTTGGCCTGCTCTCAAAACAGCTTGGAGGCACGACGTTCCCATAGACACCAACAGACATGCTGGACAACGGCTTAATGCATGTCTGTCACAGAAAGGTAGGATCTAGTAGCAGATTTGTGAGCAGGGCACTCAGATTTTTCTGCAAGTTGGAGGTTATTGGCTCTTCGTATTGATTGTTAACCCCAGCTGTTTGAACGCTATTTGGCAATAATTACAGATAAAGAGGACATAAAGCAAGGTGCTTAGAAATAACATTTTAGATTTTTGCTTGCATTATCTTTATACTTCTAAACATGAGAAAAACCTATGCTTAGTTTTCTTTAAGGTATTGAAAGTCATACACATATATTTCGCAGTCTGGGATGCAAGAGCAAATCCCACCATGTCGTGCAAGATTTTCAGTGAAACTACAAGCATTAGCAATACTTTATGTTCAGATGTGTGCACGCATACTCATCAGCGGCTAAGGGCACAGGGCCACAGAAGAACACCGTGCTGAATGGTTTTTAAATGTTATTTGCATGCTCTCAGTTTTACTCTATGCTCCATCAAGACTATGAGAGGTGGAAACTTCTGGAAAAAGCAGAGAAACATGTCCCTCCCCATAGAAACTCTTAAAACACGCTCAGAGCAGAGAGGGTTTGAAATATTGCTGGGTGTATTGGGCCAGAGAATTGCAGAGAGCTGTAAGCCAGCAGCTTTTGCAGAAGCTGCAGAGAGGAGCAGGGAACAGAGCCTCGGGGCTATTGGGAAATGGATCCTTTCCCAGGGATCAGAGGAGGGGACAGGTTTTAATGCAGATCAGAATTACTGAGTTAACTGAAGCCAACCTTAGAAGTAGCGATGCACATGTGAGGACTCATTGGCTTGAGAAAAAGAACGCTGAAGTGATTTCAGTCTTTTATGAGTCTTTTTAAACCTGGTTGGTTTGAGCTTCCTCTGCTTAGAAAGAGATGTTTCTAATTTTTATTCCAATAAAATCTGAGGGGTTTGAGCTTAAAAGCAGTATGAATTCTCCAGGGAGCTCACAGCAGGAAAAGGTCAAAAGAGATCCACCTCAGCAACCCAGCCAAATCAGTCTCCCCTCTCAGGCACCTAGGACAAGAGGTTCATTTCATCCCTCCCCCTTTCTTTCCTTCCCTCCCATTCCCAGAAATACACTTACCTTAGAGAAGTCATATGGATCAAGCATAAAGGATTACCCTCTGGCAACAGATGTTCAAAATCATTGTTTCTACCTTTTGCTCCCACTGACGCCCATCCTGAGATTCTTGCGGCACTTAACGGTTCAGTACTTCAGTGCAGCCACACTTGCACACAATATTAACTTGAAAAGATCATGGCATTTCTTTTTGAAAGATGTGCTGTCTGCAATGGTGCTGTTCCTAACGGCTTTGTGTACGGAAAGTTTGCTTCTTGATGTGATGTACAAAACCAAGTTCAAAAAAGGTATTCTGTTATATTGTGTATATATAAACACATATTATATATATATACACACACACACTATATATATATACACACATATATATATTCTGTACAAGTTTGGCTATTTGAATGGTTTATGGCTTTCATAGTGGAGGCACTACATAAGTCACAGAATGACTTTTTCCAAGAGAAGATAACTGTATTTTTCAAACTGATAGTGTGGCACACACTATGAAAACAAATGGTTAAGCGTCCATGCAAGCTATGCATAGTCCTCGATTTATCCGTATTAATGCAAAGTGGCCCCAAAAGTGATATAAATAACTGGCTACAGTCCAAAGTATATCCACAAAGGATAGATAATTGGTATTACAGTTCCTATGCCATCCCTTCTCTGCAGCTAGCACAGTAGCATTGCTAGGATTCAGTTATGTTTGGTTGATCTCAAGCTGACAATTTGGATCCCTAAGGCTGTTGGCAGCCAGCGCAAGTCAGAGCATCCCTTAGGTTGATCTAATTTATACTGATGGACCTGCTGGAATAGACTGACCTCCGAATGAACTTCGTGCTACCTTTTTACCCTTTTCCTGACCTAGGCTGTATGCTACTCACTCTTTGTGGCCTCTTTTTAGTTTATAGATACATGCATGCATTTCATTTATGATTGAAAAAAAAGAAAGTGAAATACATTGAATAATTCCTCTGATTCTTAAGTAGGTCCAAGACTGCCTCCAGGAAATTCTTTCCTGCTTTTCTTTTGAGCTGGAATATAATTCAGGCAGTTCGTTCAAAGAAGTGTAAATAATCATGCAGAATAACCAATATAGATCATGCTTTATAAAGGTCATACACTTAAAAATTAAGTAGCATCTAGAGGAATGGTATAAACAAGAACTATCCTTTTAGGAAATAATTAAAAAATAAAAAGGCCAATAGCTTTTGTAACTTTATAGCCCAGTCATACAGTATTGCCATTGCTAGTAATAGGCCATAGGCTTTGTACTGAGTTTACAAGCCCACTGGACAGAGGCTTAACAGGCTTGCCATGGCTGAACTTGTCTTGACTTGCCTGCAATTTTGTTTCTGATTTGGTTTAGTTGTAACAATATATACATTTTTTTAAATTAACAGATTTAGTTTGTCCTTTTCTGGTACTACCATAGTTTTATACACATACAGGCAGTGTAAACACGTGATTATTCAGAACAGAATGAGATATTTATGACTAACACAGTAAAGCAGCGAAGAGGAACACAGGCCCAGCGTGACAGCAGAGGCTTTTAGAACTGGAGACACAGCGTAGAGAGATATAGCCATAAAATAAGAGACGGGGTACAGGCCGCTGGGGACCCCGCAGCTATAACTCACTCACCAGTGGTCAGTTAAAGAAATGCAGAGCAGGAGCTGGACAAAACTAGTTTCACGGGTACCAAAAAGAGCAAAGAGAAAGTGAAACGTACATACAGAAAACGTACCTTTTCTAGTAAATTCAGATGTAACATGGAATTGCAGACCAATAAAGAACGAGCAAGATGTAAAGGCATGTTAGCAAACAAAAACGACCCCAAGTGGATCCTAGAGTGAGGAAGAAGCCACCAACACCATATTTCTCCAGGCAGAGGACTCCAGAAGCTGATGATTTACCTTAAGATTTAGACTCCCACCACACTAAAACCACTAACCTTAGAACCCAGAGGAGCAGAGGAAGGCTGAGGCTAACGCTAGGGAAAGGGGTAGAAACTAAGCATGTGTATAACAATTTTAACTGTATTATTATTATTGAGGGTGAGTTTTTTTGTTTAAGTATTTTTTTCCTGTGGTAATTATATCTGGACTAATAATGAGTCTTGGCTTAGACTGTTAAAATTTCAGTTATACTAACACAGAATTATTTAACATATAAGGCATTTCCTCTCCAAGCATAAAACTATGCAAGATAAATAATTAACAATTGTCTACACGTACAACTAGAAAACAGTAATCAAAACACAGGTATTATAAAGCTGCAGTATCGCAGCAATTGGTTATGCTTGCTGCATGCCAAATACATTACTATCTATAAAACTAAGCTATCTATAAACTTCTATATAAATCATTAAAGAGGCGATGCTTTCAGGCAACTAGCTGACTCACATCTAAAAGATCTTTTTGTAGGCATTCACAGTTTTCTGAGAACACAATATATATGCACGCACATTTTTATTAGCTCACTTTAATTGGCCTTTATTACTATACATTTAAAAGGTTGCTTATGAATGCATCCATCAGCCAGAGAGCATATCGTTAATATGTATCCATATGTGTTTTTGCATCTCAGTGTTTTCTCAACATTTGGAAGCAGATGAAAGTAATAAATTTCCTAAAGGAAAACGCTAAATTCAAGTTCATCCTTTTTCTTTCTGCATTCTAGGATCCTGTGACAAGGACCTCTCTCATAGAGCTACTTTTTCAGAGGTTTTTTTTGTTGTTGTTGGTTGGGGTTTTTTTGTTTTGCTTTACAGAGGTTATGCTACTCCTCTTTGTTTCTCTGTGGGTCTCACTCAAGAGCTATCCTTGCTTTTCTGCGTCTCCCACCATGTATGCTCCCAAATTACTCAAAGCATAAATCCAAATATGATACGCTTTCTGCTGGCTGATCTCACCTCCACATAATAACAGAAGTTCCAGTGAAGGATAAAGCATGAAGCATGCTCTAGTGTTGCAGCAGTGAAGGGCAAATATATTACAAGGGCCCTCTCCAGTTTGTCTCCAAGGCACATTTTAAGAATGTTAAAACAGTAACCCCTTTAAAAAGCAACTGTAAGATCTTGTTGTATCCGTTAACAGCATGAAACGCAAGGCAAAGATTAGGAAGAGGCATGATTATGACTGCCACATTCATAAGGACACAGAGGGAAACTTAGTCTGCAGTAACAAACCTCCTATTCTTCCTAGACAATAATAAGACAGTAACAACTTCTGCTGTAGGAAAAAAATGTAGAGTGGATTTTTGAGAGCTATGTCAAGTTTAAATATCTTACCGTAAACGGTTGTTTTTCTGTATTGTGTAACTGGTATTCCTGCATCTTGAACCAACATTACAAAAAAGAGTCCGCACAAAAGGATAAAGGCCCCGACTTGGCAAATCCCGAGCTTCTAAGTAACCTAAAAACAAGCAGTAGCAGAAATGAAACCAGTGACATTCCAGGTATAAAGCCTGTGCAATAACGTTATGTTCTCTTCTCATAGAGAGTGGCTTTGTCACCTGTGAGCAATGAAGTTATATCAACAGCAAACTTTTCATTTAGGAACAACTAATTCAACACAGAAAATAGAGAACTTCTGCGTCAAACTATGACAGCAGTGAGACATTAGAGAGCAGTCTTTGGAAAGCTGATTTTCACAGTGGTCACACCATTGCAACACCATCGTGTGCTTATTAACCTGTCTACCTAGCGTGTCTAATGACCTAAATTAGAATCTGGAAATCTTCAGAAAAACATTATTTTTCCTCTTCTCTCCCAGGCTGATGTTCAGTGATGTTTGAGTTTGCATCCATCAAGACTGTCTAAACAGCAACTTTTCTATGTTTTCTGAGAATTTAAACCTCAAAACACGAAACAACTTTTTGCTCATCTTGCAATAGTATTACTAGCTATAGGGCTCCCGTTTACATTCATTTCTTTGTTTTAAAGAGATAAAACTGAGAAATAGTTGAAAGACCATTCCCACTCTTCCTTCAGCTAACCTTCTTTTTATAACTATTACATCAAAATTAAGAGGGAAATGAGAAAGATGCAAGGGCAAGTTTAAATAAGCAGCGTATAGCTCAACAAACCAACATTTGGGCTAGCTTTCTTACTGAAAACTCAGAGTTGAAAGACATAGAAATGAGGAAATTGCTACATACATAGAAATACTTTAAAATCCTAATTTTAATTAAACTCTGCTATCAATATTTTGGAGACAGGTACCACTAGAAGTTGCACCATTAGTCAAGCTAGCCTTCATTTCTCAGGAACTGTACCTGATATATCAAGTCATTAATTTCAAGTTTTGAATGACCAGTGCCAATTGTAGATTATTTTTGTTCTTATTTAGCACACTCCAAATCACTTTGTAGAAAGCTCAAGTGCATGCACTGGATCCCTTTCCACTGAAACTCAAGCAGAACCAAACACACACCTAACGCACTCATAACACTAACATACATTGCATCCTTGGGACCAGAATAGAGCTGATCTAAAATAAACATATATAGCACAAACCTAGGCTCTCTCCAGCTGTTTCACTCTATAGATCTCCAGCTGTTTTATCAAACTGGTTGCTATCATTGCTAAACCTAGTTTGTTCTCCAGTGACCTCAAAGTAAAGCAACTTACTTTTTATATAGGCAAACACACTCTATCAAGCAACAGACTTTTCATTATTTAGTTAAACGGAAGAGAAGAGTTTAGGAATAGCATTAAGTAATTCCTCAAGCAAACTATTCATATAGCTTTGGAAAAAAAAAAAAATCATGCATCTCTCTCACCTGGCAACATTTAGAATACAGTTATTCTCTCCTTACCTAGATATCCCCTATACTTTCAACAGGGGACAATATTCTTAGCTTGCTATCTCCTTAGTAATAGAACTATTATTTGAATGTACCAGTGATATTGCTGTATAGGTTAAAAAAAAAAAAAAAGAATATTTTGTCACACAGTTGGAGACACTTTGAAATAGTAAATGATTAATGTTAGCCTCAAAAGGACATTAGTAAGCACTATCAAAATTAACCAACTGAACCTCTCTTATTTGGCCCTATAAGAATAATACATTATTGTCTACCTCCAAATTAAAGAATTTTGACAAAGTCTGTATCAGAAATCATTGCATCTCACAGAACTTTTTCCATGTAACAGAATGATGAATTAAAAAGAGTGAATACACGTTATACTGAAGCTGAGTATTTACTATTGCTGTTTTGTAAACATGTCAAGCTTTCTTCAGGATAATAAATCCAGAGGCTCCTGTAAAGCAAGTACAACTAAATCATGCATAAGCCAAGAGGTCCAAAACTTACATGCTCATCTTAAATACAGAATCATTTAAGCTCTTACATAGTAATATAGCTCATTACAGTTTTTTATTTTGTTGTCTCTTCTGCTCCTGGCTTCAGTTAGCCCTGCACTTTATTTTTCTGGGAAAATGAACCCAAGATGCTATTCCCAGTAAGATCACAAAATATAAATGTGTCTGACATGCGATTGATAGAATAAATTGAATAGATTATGATATCATGAGTCATTCCTTTCTGAACAAAACTGACATTTGACAAGACAAGAACAAGATGAACTTTACAATGTGGAGGGAGCCATTACAATTTTTTTAAATATTAGTGGAAATCAGAGAATTTCCTTTTTACAACGTGCTCATCCCAAATATCCAGCAAGTAGGCAGGGGCAAGATTCATCTTGGCTCACTGTCGAGATCTGCTGAATAATCAGCAGATTATTATCAATAGAGAGAACAAGTAGAGCTAGAATCAAAGTAACTCGCCTTATTCCGGAGTTTAAAACTAGTCTGAGGGACTGGACTCAAAACTAGGTATTTCTCCACCCCACCCCATTCCAAATGTGAGTCACTTAGATCTGCAGCTAAAGACTGAATCTCACTGTAGGGTTCTTTCCTTTGACTTTACCACATTTAAGTTACACCTTCTTGTTTATCTTTCTAATATTTCTCAGCTACTTCAGACAGAATGCACTGAAATAGAAGAGCACAAGTGAAACAAAACATACAGTTTTCCTTGTATTTTGGAGGCTCCTGGAAGCGGATTGCAGCCAGAATGAAGAAAAGCACACATGGCCAGAGTATTTCAGAGAGAGACAGGACCTGAAAAGGGAAATCAAAACATTATCACTGCTAAAGGGAACAATTTGTTCACAAACTCCATTTAAATTCATATATATTTTAAATGAAAAGCCCTAAATACGCCCTCTACAATTACTTAAGGCAAAGTAAAATCACAGAAAGCAAATTAGGTTATTTTAAGACTTTTACTTTAAAAAAAAAAACAACAACTTATAACTTTGACAAACACACTGCTTTCAGAATACAAAAGCAGTTTTCACTTCTCCTTCTGCTTCTAGCATTTCTACATGTTTCCCTCTGATCAGTACAGAAATATGTCTGACGCGACGCGACGCAACTACAGCGGCTTCCAGCACCTGATCCACTTTAAGAATTAGTGGTATTCTGTACCTGGCTACAGTTCCCTCACACTTCTCCGAAGCCTGTTGCCCTAGACTCTGACCAGCATCACCTCCTTGTTGTTCCCTGGATCCAGGACCCCTGCTGCTACATCCTTACCTTTTACCCACAGTCGTCCCTCACCGCGAGCTGCCTTTATCACCCCCAGCAGCACCTGTGGCCACGCACAGCCACGCTGTCGCCTTCCCATTTCCATGACTGGAGTGAAAAGATACCCAGGCTGGTGCCAGTATTGAACTAGCAGAGCTCGAGCAAGGGTTATTCAAGCAGACTGCATGTATCTAGCATGTGCCTGCACCTCAGCAAAAAGGCTGGGACCCCCAATCGAGCTGCATGCAGGAAGAAAGCTGTCTCGGCCATTTCAGCAGCAGAACAAGGAGATCGCTATTCAGCTGATTTTGGAAGCACTTCTGGGTTCGCTGATAAAAGTACTATGAAAGCACAAATACTTAATTCACTAACAAGAATGCAGTAGAAAGAATCATATTAAACGGGAAATCAGAAATATTTAAAAAGGCTTTTAATTTCTTTGAAGATTATCACGGGCTTTTTTATTTCAAAACCTAAATTGTGAGGCACAGTTGTTAAATTAAGCCCCGATAGGGAAACAATTCCTGAACTTAGATATCTTACTTCTTTGGGGAGTCCTTGCAAGATAAGGCTTAAGAAATAATTACATGGCAAAAGGTCCGCCCTGCAGAAAAGGGCTGCTCTGCCGAACACAGCACAACAAACTGAAGTCTTCCTGAAACACGGTAAAAGTCACTCATCCAACCTGGACACTCTCCAAACCAGAGAGGAGCAAACCAGAAGAGTCAGGCCAGGCTCTCTACTGATTTTCAGGGCTCCGCGTGGGCAGGCAGGAAGCTCCCTGGGCCCGGTCTCAGCAGCCAGGCCTTTCCCACCACCCACAAGGGAGCAGGGTGGCCAGGAGCAGCACAGGGAAGGGGCTAAGCAGTCCTTGGAAAGCCCCAGGAGCCCCAACTGGGCCCAGGTTCAGTGCTGCAAGGAGATCAGAGCCCCAGACCCATCCCACGGTACCTGAGCAAGGGAGTGGGACAGGCCCTGGTGTAGCAGCCGGGCTCAGCCCAGAGTCCAGCTCATCAGGCAGGTCCATGGTGACAGGGCCAAGCAGTCGGCCCGTGGGCTGAGGTCCAAATCAGCAGTGCCCACAGCCAGGCAGGGCAGGATCGTGGCAGAGCTGCTGGGCAGGACCACTGTAGTGTTGCTAGGGTAGAAGCTGAGCTGAAACGGAGCTGCCGTCCATGGGCAGGGTGTGGGTGGAGGCCCCAGGTGGGGCTGGTCAAGGCTGTGTGAGCAAAGGCCCCAGGTGGGGCTGGTCAAGGCCATTAAGGCCTGTTAGTGCCCTCAGGGCCCTGACACCTCTAAGAGCAACCGGGTACTACAGGTATATTTAGGTATTCACTTGATAATACCTTTCAGATACAAGACAGAGTTGCATATCATCTGCCCTTCATGTGGAGCATCCCCTTGCATCAGGGGGAGCATCACGGGGAGAGGCACAGACTCGTCAAACTCCTCTGGTTTCCTGCTCTTCTGGCTTCTATCCATCCCACACCACCCAGCTTTACTCAGGGACTTCCTTTTCCCTCTTGTAAGCAGATTAAACATAAATAAAGAATTTAAAAGTGTGGTTGACTCAATAGCATAGTCCCTTGCGCAGTATCCAGAGTCATACTTGTGAGCCCCAGGCACCAAATTTACCACGCCATCTTTGTGTTCTTCCAGTAATAGGGCCTGGACAAAGCCCCAGTCCAGGTAAATACAAGCCTGGTGAGAAGCCATCACAGCTGAGTGTAGGCAGCTCTACTTTCAAAAGCTTAGGACGGGCCTCATGGCCAAAATAAATTGCTGGTTGTTGTCTACTAGCCAGGAAGCCTTGAAGTTTATAGTTATATTTAACAAAGACTCAGAATGTGGGAAGGAAAGGAGCAGTTTTCCCTACTGTCTCAGTCACCAGTATCTGAAGTGTTCATAAAGGATCTGATCGTATTGTATAGAGCTAAATCTAACTAAAAAGGATGTGCGTTTGGAGCAGCACTTCACTAGGACACCTTGTTGGTGACGATGTCTTCTCGGTGAAAGTATACCTAACAAGTTATTTGTAATTAGTAAGAAGGTTTACATTTCAAGCAGAAAGTGCAAGGGATTAAACACGGTGGTGAGAAGGATTTGTTTGTCCTAGAAGGCACAAAGGGACAGATGTAAAGGCTTTTCATCATCACAAAGACATTCTGGAGGGACAGAACAGAAGTTAGCAAATCTCACTAGAGCAGACGACCTAGGATCAAAAATATCACTCCATCTTATCACTAAAATTGAGGAAGAACATAGTACTAGCATTGCAGAATGCTTTTGCCCTTATATAGACAATTTCATAGAAATTATGGTATCTGAAAGGTTCTACTTGCTAAGAGCCATAGAAAAACAGAAATGATATTATGTTTCCCCTTAACTGAGACAAAACAAAACTTTTCCAATGGAGAAGCAAATTTCCCAACAATTCAGAATGAGGCAGGTTTCTGCCTCCAAAATCTGGATTAGTTCACTGAAATAAAAGCATAAATGCACTCATTCTGGACCTTTTTTTTTCTTACCATTTCTCATATTAGGTTACATTAAACTCAGTCATTCATATTTAGGATAACCGGGAAATCAACTGGACTTTCCCCATTGAAACTCTCTTTGGTATGCCCTAACATGTTACCAAAGGCCTAATTTTCACAGGCTGTGATATATCATTTGGGCTAAAACTTTGAATGGTATTCTTCCTGCAGATTTCCACGGGCCTTGGATCCAGCCAAGGAAGTTTGTTTATTTCAGGTAGTCCTCAATTAATTGATTTTGGCCCATTCCTAGGCTTTTTTTGTCTGCAGTTACATTTTAGGAGTATGTTGTACTTTAAGAGTTTTTGCCCATTGAGAACTGCTGCTGGATAATCGAATGTTACTTGAAAAGCAAAACAGAAAGAGGGGAAGAAATAACCAATTTATAGGTATAACTGAGTGTCATCTCTTTCTGCAAAAGAGGATACTCTCTGAGTAAAAAAGTCACTTATACAGACTGTAACATAGCAGAGTATGCCAGCTATAGAACAGTTAGAGCCGAGAACTCTCTTTTGTATTAAACTCTTCCAAAATTAATCTGCTTAGTTAGATTATCCAAAAATCTGGCATGCAGGGAAGGGTTGTTATTCCAAATCTGGGACTAACGAGGCAAAGATTCTTAACATACAAAAGCACCATTTTTTAAAATGGGCAGACTCTCCAGATTTTTTTTTTTTCCCACAGATCTAGGGATCAAAATGAACATTTCACAATGCCACTAGTTTTGGCACTGGAGCAGAAAAGCACCTAATGAAATGATAGGAGCTGTAAACAACGATCACTCTCTTGTTCTGGGCTGCATTCCCCTTGGTTATTGTAATTCACTTGAGAAACCTCATTACTCCTAAAGCATAAGATAGATAGCAATGATTTTTAATGAATCTATAAAATTCAAGGTTCAATAAATATATCAAGTGTATGACTGGAGAATACCAGTGAGCCAGGCAAGTATAGGCCTATTAGTCTAACCTCCGTTGTTTGAAAGGTTTTAGGAAAGCAAAAATAATTTTCCCATTTTCAATTTACCTCTGGTATTTCAGTACACATCAAAGGCTTATCAAAGGCAGACTTCCCAGTCTAAAATGTTTGTGTCTTTCTTTGGTAGAGTACTGATTCTAGGTGTCAATAACAGCAATTGCAGAGATCCTAGGATCTCAGCCCCAGAGGCCGTCTTGGGCTCTTCGTGGGTGACAGCGGGTCTGCCAACCTGCAGAACCCTTTGGGACGGGGACGCCCTCCCGCAGGTACTCCCGAAGATTGAGCGTACGTTGGCCACTGAGGCAACAGTGGGTAAGATCAGCCATAACTGGTTTGCCTAGTTCATTCGTGTGGGTAATTACAATTAGCATATTACAATTAGCTAGCTTTGTCTGTTTACTAAGTAGTTACCGTTAGCATAATTTTTAGCGTAACTAGAAAATAAGTATTCTAGTTGAGCTAAGTTTCTGTTAATAAGAATTGCTGCTTTGTACCGTCGTAACTTGAGTAGTAAATTTTGGTCTTTGAAACAAGTTGTGGAGCCACGCAGTAAATCTCCTTCTCCCCCTCCTCCCCTCCCTTGTGCCACATGAAACCCGCACGGTCCAGGTTTGTAAGGTAGTCAGTCATCCCATGACAAGATCTATCTTTTTTAAAAAATCACTTAAAATCATCTAAAAAAGAAATTCTGTAAATCATCAGTTTCTGATTAAGTGAAATATTTCTGAGACAAAAAGCTGGATGTTTGTTTAATTGAGGTAATCCCATCTGAAGCAGCCAACATGCCCCTTTGCAAATTCCCAGATCATCGCAGACAAGGGAAATCAATGACAAACTGTTAATTGTAGTGACATTAACATATCGTTTTTGCACCAAAATGTTAACTCACTTGAGAGAATTCCCTTCCTTCAATCTTAAAAAAGAAATCACACGTCAATCACAGTTAAAGCAAACAAGGACATTTCACCTCTTATTAGCACATATTTTAATTTTGGCTGCTTTTAAAGCATCTACCCCATTCTTCTGCATATTGCAATTTAAAAGGATAAAATAAGCTTTGTAGAAAGGATAAGAAAGGAGATTTAAAAATTTATATAATTTTAGTATATCATACTTTTACTCCGAATATCTAGATTTTGATCTCGATTATACAAGCCTTATTACATCACCAGGGAGACCCAAAATGTGAGGGAAATCGATTTTCATCCTCACCATTGCTACAACTACCAGTAGTATATAATAGTAATTAACAGATAAGCTGAGGCTCTTTAAAAACTTGTATGTGATTTCCTGTCTCACTTGCAAATTGAGGAGCATGGCTGTATTCAGCCGTTTTAGAGTTAAAACACACCGTTATGTTTTAAACGATTAGAAGCCTAAAGGCAAAACTAGAACCACTTGCAGCCAGCTGATCTTTAATAGTCGGTAGTGGAAAAGGAAAGATTAATACACTCTTTTCAGATATTAATAAAATAAAATAAAATATTGCTTTCGTTGTTATGATTTCCAAACACTCACCGGTTGCCTCACACGGCAGAGCCAATTCTTCCAAAACAGAGCCTTGAACTGGTGAATAGCATGTCCCATCCTGTCTTGTCTTTTCTGCATCCACTTGGAGAGTGGCTTCTTAAGGACTTTCTAACTGAGAATCATCTCACCAAGCAGTTTGGGCATATGCTTCAGTAACAGATTTATTCCAGCACTAGAGAAAGGTGGTGCAAGAGATTTGCCTGCTCGCTGAGAAAAGATTAGATTATGTTCCTGCCTCTTGTTTTGCATTTACTGAGGATCTCAGCTTTCCACTTGCTTCTCAGTGCAATGAACAGTAAGGGGATGGGTTTATATAAATGCCTTCAGGGTGCTTTACTCCACAGCATATATTCTGCACTTGTTTCTACTTTTCTGGAATAAAAATGAATGCAAATAACAGGAAAAAATGAACAACCTATAAAACACCTTCATTTTTTTCTGGAGTCAGGTGACTTTCTGTCACTGTTTATTTCATTTTGTATGCATACTCTTAGCTTTTTAAAGAGAATAGCTAGAAAGTAAGTACACCTTTTAACCATATAGCCCCATAAATGTCTGTCTCCTTCTAGAACAGCCTCATAAGTGTGCATCTAGCACTGTGGTGGTCCTATTGTATCAGCATATGCCTATGTTGAATTTGATCTTATAAAAGGTGTTTGTCTGACATGTTCTTTCTCCTTTTTCAGTATAAATTACCTGCATATGGAAGATATTCTGAAGAGTAACAAAACTCTGTTAATTAATTACCACATGCTACCCCGGAGGAAAATCAGTCTTCCAGCATTCCTTTGCAAAAGAGGAGTGAGGGAAATTCCTGGAGCCATCTGCAGGAGGGGAACCTGTGCATAACTGTGGCAGTGGGGGCTACCTGAAGACACAGGTCACAGAAAGTATGTAGTGGTGCAGAGCTTTGGGTTGTTTTTTTTTTTACCATGCTGCAAGGATGACTGCGCTCTTGATTGGGAATGCTACTTTGAGCAGAGGAGTAAGCCTTTTGTCTGTTTGGTTCTACCCAAATGAGTTGCCTGAGTTAGGATATGAACCCCAAAAGCTCCCTCTACAGTCAATGGTGAGACATAACACAGCCCTTATAGAAAGTAATTCAACCCACTTAAAATCTGAATCATGCATCACATGCTAAAACACATGCATATTAGGACAGTGCTACCCCTGACAGAATATTCTCCCATTAGTGCTTAGTAAATCTCACGATTACATTTTTTGCAAAATGTATTACTATTGAATGAAAATGACATTTTAACATTCACAGCTATTTTTCCTCATCAAGACTAAAAGTCCCAGAAATATCTACAACCTTTTGGATAAAGAAGTCATTAGCAAGGAATCTGACTTCCGCTAGATTTGAGCTAAGAAGGCAGTCTTGTTCACTTCATGCTACACTGACTGATAAGCCCGTTTACATTCTTATATTTGAAATAGCACAAACTGCTGCTTTAATCCCTACATTTGCCGTGGGTACAAGGAGTAGAGAAATTAATAAAAAACAGATTAAACAGTTGCCATGAATTTATAAAGATTTACACACCAATAAAAATCTTGTCCTAGTAAAGCAGAAACCACAGATGAAGTCATGGCAGGATATGACTTGCTGAACAGCTTTATGCCTCAAGTATCATGAGGTTTTCTTTTATTTGCTCTGCTCTGAGACTGAAAAATTACTGATCACTGATTACTGAAGCAATTGCTTAATTTTAAATATAAATTTAAGTCCTCAGGACATATAAAAAACCTAAAAGTTCTTCAGTGTTTTCCTGAATCTGTTTAAGTATGTTTGTACCTCTAAGGCAGGATTAATTCAGTTATGCAAAATGATGGGCCTATTGAGCACTGCTTCAGTTTTCATTAACCGCTGTCTCCCCTTCCGCGCCTCCTTCGTGGTATCGGCAGAGCGCGCACCTCCTGCTGCCACCAAACACGTCGCCTCCTTCCTGCTTCCTCCAAAGCTGATGAGCAGCCCCCCCACATGCAGCAGACAGATACAGCCCCTTCATCATCCGTCTTCCGTCTTCCCCATGCTGGGGGGAGCTCCCTTCATCGCCCACCCTAAGGCACTAGAGTGTATCTGGGCAAACAACCCAAAAGGAAGAACGTGCCTCACTAAGGACCTCCACTTCACATCTGCCTAAGGGATGCTTCTGCTTCCAGTCAAGCAGTGCTAAAAGCCCTGATAAAAGGAAAGTGTACAGTAAAGACAGTTTTGCTCAACAGAGGACTGGGTGAGATAAAAATTCTGTGGATAACCTGAATATGCATTTTCAAACCAATATTTGTCACTACTTAAATATTGTGAATATATGCATGGGTTCACATAGCTGTTTTGGAAAGCTGGGGAGCAGAATCTATATTGTGTGATTTATAGGAAAAGATTAACTAGTCAGCCAGCACAATGAATTACAAATGGTTATTTATCAAACCAGCTGATACAGAGGACAGTGGCTAATACTTAAGCTAAAACAGCTCATGTGAACTGTTTGCCAAATTTTTCTGAATAAATAATTCTGCAAAACCTCTGCTTGTCTAACTGTGATGCGCATATTTTATGATACTCTATATAATTACATACTCATAAATGTTGCATGCTACTTTTTATGCTAAACAGCTTTTCATGGAAATAGGAAACAAACTATTTTGTATGTAATTAATATCCAGTACTAATGAATTAGTCTCATTTTACTACACAAGAAATCCAATAGACAAAAACCTTCCACCAGTGAGTTGTTTACTTTACTGCCTTCATATATCGTTGTCCTTCCCTCAGGAATTTTATTCTTGCCTAGTACAGTGTCGCCCAATAGTAGATTTTAAATTTTTTCCCAAAAAACAGTAAAGTAAAAGATATCTCATAAGCATTCAACCAAGAACTATCTCTGTAGTGGCACAGGGGAAATTAGTTCTAAAAAAGGATGAATAAGCTTGATTATTTGCAATGTTATAGAAATATGAAAACAACCCCCCCCCCAAGCCAATGGCAGAAGACGATATTAAAAAACGAGCAAACAGGCAATAAAAACAAATTGGTTCTGAATATTTATGGCAAGAAATTTCAGCTGTATTGCTGCCATGCTGAAAGCTTTTTTTAAAGCTTAGTTAGTTTCATCAACTAACTAGCAAGTTCGTTTAAGAGCTGCATGTTCAAGGAACTTAAAAAGGTTCAGTCATAGCAGTTGCTGATAAGCTAAATAAATTACATACTTTTAGGGCTCCTTAATAGAGTGGCCAGTTAGCAGAAACGCTTTGACAAAGGCAAGTTAGAAGGTCATATGTGTGCTCCACTCACACTTTCTGGAACGGAAAAAGAAATGTTCAGAATCAAATCTCCAACCGAGGACAAGGCAGAGCGACCTGCCCATTTCTGGTTCTGCTTAGCTTTTGTAGGCCTTGTCATGGTCAGAACTTCAAAACCACTGGGGCAGAAAAGGCAGAGAATATTCTGCTAACATACATCCTTGGTTTTAAAACTTGACTGGTTATAAGAAGATACCATCTACATGCCTCATCTAGCCTCTAGTTTTAATATATGCTAATTACAGTAGATTGACAAACACATTCAAAGAAACATAGTTTTATCTGCTACACTGGTTAAATCCTAGGAGCCAGAAATGCTGTTTGGTAGGCAAGAATGTAGCCTAATGCTGTGAGACTATGGCTGGGAATCAGGCAGACTACCATATTTTCCTACCACCACCCACAATTTGTTTTACAAAGTTTACTGTGTGATCACAAGCTTTCCTTTTAACAATACTAGGAGTACTACTTGTAAATATTTACATGACACAGCCTTGTTGTGCAGACAAAGCGCCTCCAGGATGCCATCGATTAGCAGCATCTTTCCTGGGAGATACTTCCTCTCTGCAAAGTTAGGGTAAGACAAAAAATGTTAAGGCGGCGGGGGTAAGGTCACATAATAGGATTGATTTAAAATGTAACTATACGTTAAACAAACAAACCATGCAAATCTCGCAAGCAGACCAGTGGTTTGAGCTTCTGAGGAATCTTAATCTTGTAATAGGACAGATAGATAGTAGGCTTCTGAAAATTTTCTCACAGTTACATGCTGAGACGACAAGAAGCATCTGGAATCAGGTTTCCGCATCGTGCAAAACTGGCTTTGTCTGCCTTTTTCTGCTGCTGCGTTTTGTTTGTAGCAACAGAAGCATTGCCCCTGTCAGCACTACTCTTGCTTCTATCATTGTACTGGAGAGTTTTAGATTTAACATTGTTCCGCTCAGTGACCTCCTCTCTCTTCATTACAAAGCAGGCAGATGACTCTCTTAACTGTAGTTTAATTCATACGCTACTTGGCTGTTTTAAGAGTAAAAACATTAAATAAAAATTGTTTTAGACAGAACATAGCTAAATCAGACTAATTTAAAGACTAAGAAACCTTCAAGGAGCGTGAACTTCTACATCATTTAGCAAACAGTAGTCTCTTCAAACTACACTACTGAGCTTTTCTGTATTTGGTAGTTGCATGCAGACCCAACCCCCCAAAGTTACCAGTTTGCTGCCCACAGTACGGAGGACTGCAGTCAGGAAAGAACTGACTACTGATGGACAAATCTAAAAACATTCACTCTTTAGTTTCTTTCACCTACCTTGTCAATGGAAATGAAACACATCTCTTCAACTCAACTTTAAAAAATCCAGTTCTTTGTGCATTTTTTTTTTAGGAACATATTCAGACGCAGCAGGACTCGACAAGAAAATCCAGTTTTATTACACAATGCACAGAAAATTCTTTGAAATTAGAGCCATATAATAATAATCTGAATTACTTAGAAGGTTAAAAAGAAAGGATTATATCTTAAATGTGTATAATCCTGTTTTCAGGAAATACTGAAAATATCCTCAGGTAAGAATTATTTTGCTTGCTTTTAAAAGGAAGGATATGAACTTATACTCTAAGTACTTTTGGCAGCAGGTCATTCCACAATGTTCCTTTTCAGGATTTCCTCATACCTTCTATAAAAGATGATCTCTGTCTGAAGTATATCAAGATATCAAAAACAGAAATCCAATTCTTCAAGTCACTGATCAAGTTATTGTACTTTCTCACTCTATTGCAAAAGTGAAGCAAATATATTTTATCCTAACACATCTTCATTGCAGTCTAAACCTTTACTTTAATAAAAAGGCAGAAACAGGTTGGAAGAACATAAATAATCAAAGAATTGATCATTAGTAGGAACCAATCTTTTTTTTCCCCTTTGCAATTCTATGCTGTTCTTATCTTCTACCTTCCTCCTCTGCTTTTATCCTATCTGATACCTGGGATAAACGGATCCAGTAATGTATTGATGGGTATGGAATAGCACAGAGGAAAAAAAAAGTTGGCCTTTGAAGTGAAATGGAGGTTTCAAGGGTTAGCAGGATTTGTAGATCAACCAGGAGATGCTGCACTATGTAATACCCAATATTTACTGCAAGTTCTCTGTGCCTTTAATAACAGCACTCCAAATCCTGATTCATATCCTGCAGCTTACATGAGCTCATTTTATATATGATACAGACAGAATGCATGTTTATATATGATATAGAATGTGAATGGTTCATATTAAAGAACCAATTTGCATATAAAGGTCAGTGAAATATTTTATAATTCTTTATAGAGCTATATGTAAAATCCAAAGGGAGGTAACTTTACTGCCGGATGCACGCTGTTGAGTTCGTTCTTTCTCTCTCTGTCCAGTTGTTCTTATCAGGGTAACATTATGGTAAGAGTTTCCTCTGAAACAAAGAAAAGTTTTTTTGTTTTTTTTTTTTTTGCACCTAGGGGAATTAGAAGGAAGCACAAGTGTAAGAGGTGTTTATACAGCACCCTCTTGTATTAGGAACACAGTATTACAGGATGGTGACTAGTGGAAAACTACAGGATACTCTGTTGAATTTTTTTTTCCCCTCCAAGTCGTCATACATTCCTTTGCTCCAGATCTTAGTAAGCACAGAAGAAAAACAGTGTAACAGAAAAAAAAGTACAATGCTATAGGGAATAGAGGAAGAAGAAAGAACACACATTAGAAGAAAGTGAATGGCTAAAGTCTTCTAGAGATTTCTGCTAGGGACTGTAAAATGAAGTCTTGTGTACTCATTTCTGTAGAACGGTTGCATCACTTCACGATCGTTTGAACCTTAGCTCCAACTAGGGCAGACCACACTGATAGTTAGATTTCATCATGCATTACATAAAAGCTTTCTTACAGGAAAGCATCAACTGTATGATGGAAGTACCTACTTTATAAAGACTGTTGATATGAAAGCTGTGTAGTTTCAGCTGTTATACACTGTTACATAATTTGGGATCTTTTTTCTGTTTGCCACAGGTTCCACAGATTCCTGGTGCCCTACCTTTAAAAAAAAAAACACACCATTTCAGATTTGTATCTCCAATAGAGCTGCAGTACTATGTTTCCTCAAAGCTTAACACAATCATATTAGATGTTTCTCTGCTGTCTTGATAAAGGTTTTTCTTTTTTTTTTTTTTTAAAAAACGTATAAGGAGAAAGCATTCAAACAAAACATGGAGGCCTTCCCACCTGACTCCTTCCCTTAACTTTGAGGAAAGAAAATGCATTCTCTGAAAAAAACCTTACATTCATTGTATATTCTGAGTATAAAATGAGAAAATGTGTTTTTTTATATTAAAGACTAAATTAGTAAAGCAAGAACAAAATATTTGGATTAAAAAAAATACAAAATTTTTCTCTTTTCCATTGTCCATCCCCACTATGTTCCCCAATCTAAAGATCAATAAATTTTAGGATATTAATACCCTTTGGTAGATTCCCATTCACAGGAGTCATTCCTTCCACTTTGAACATCTTCACCTAATTCCTTCTGGAGTTTCTGCCACTTCTTTGTCAACAGGCCTACTAATACATCACTCCCACTTAGATGTTATACTGACCTGAGTGTTGCCAACTACGATAATCTAAAACACACACACACACACACACACACAATGCATTAGCTGGATCAGCAACAGCTGCTTTGAGAGATTATTCAAACCCTTTTAAGTTGTCACTCCCAGTGGGATTGGACCATCCATTGCAGAAGAAGAGAGATAAATGCATTTCCCTTAGCTGACCACATATTTATATTCTAACCACAGCAGCAAAGCAGCTAGGAATATTAAAAACAACAAAAAAAGGGCCAATGGTAATGGAAAAATTAGCAGAAATGCGTGTGGTGGCATATACAGTCAATAGGTGTTCCCCACTTCTGGGAACCACTGCAAGGGTTATGTTCTGAAGACAGAGATGAAACCAATTTAAAAAGAAATAAAGTGAGAGGAAGAAAATGAACTGCCGTTATGCAATCCTGTGAACATGCCATACACCACCTCTGAGCGCCTTTGGTTTTTCTTCTTGATTCAGCAAGAGATTTCAAACTCTACAATGCAACATTATTTATATGCGTAAGTTTCCTGGGCATAGACTCAATCGCCTCCTTAACAGGAGTATGAACGGGCAGTGTTGGATCAGTATCTGAGAATTACAGATATTCTACAGCTCAGAGTCAAGTGCTTAATGCTTAGGAAATTCAGTCCCACACTTTGGAATTTCATGAAATTTTAATATTTGGAAATAGTATTGTTTATTTGTCAAAGTTGGCAGAAAATAAACTGCATTCCCTGTAAGTTTTCTTTATGAAGGGAAGCAAAGGTCATTACAATAATTTATATATTTTTAAACAATGAGGAAGGAATTAGTTATTTTAAGCTGATTTTAATTTGGGAGTTTGCAAGTATTTTGTATAAAGCTTGATTTTTTTCCCTAGTCTTTTTCCTTAACAGCATGGATAAATAAAGTTTTTTCATACATTACAGTAAGTTAGACCCTCACAGCAGACCTACTTTCCAGCTCATAGAAAAGTGAAAGACTCATAGCCCAGTAACACATAAACTAAGCTAATCTTAATTCAAGTCTGTTCAACATCTACTGCTGCCAAAGCACACTGATATAAATGATTAACTTTGACATACACATAGAATGTTGTAAGCTATTCTGAGGCAAAAGACCTTTATTGCACAGAAGTTGTGACCATGACTTCAGCTGTGAAAAAGCACTGGCCTTCTGCTTCTATGAAACAAAGATGAGTATTTCATACTTTCCCAAGACGTTTCTTAATGAAATAACCCACTAATCTCTGTGGTCTTTGTTGATACTCCACAAGTATATCATGTGAGCTACTAATCTGATCCCCTTTGAGCCGATTCAGGAGAGTGACACACACCACAGCAGCTAGAAAGGAAAAGACAATATTAGTTAGGAATGACATTTTGGGACTCTTACAATCCAGAAGCATAAGCTTGAATAAAGAACTGGGATAGTAGAACATATGAGAGAAAACAAACCCAAGTAAACGGTGCACAGTAACAGTGGATGATATTAAAAAGTTAAAAATAGTTTAAGACAAATCACGAAACCATTAACAAAGCAAGTGCTCTCAGGCATGTGCAGATACTCATTGTTACATCACTAATTCTTCTTTTTCTGAATAGGAATTATATTTCACAAGTATCCAGGTCCTAACTGATAGGAATTGATCAGAGACACTGTTCTAGCAGACACAGTTACAGCCCTCTGCCATCTACCTTATCCCTAACTTAAACCTCTGTCCTGTAAACCCTGTCATTTAGGATCCAATAATTGAGTTGCTTTTACATTCACGGAGGCAGAGCAGGGCAAATAGATGAGAATCTCTTAGATCATCTCAGGCTAATCCACAGCCACTCAGGTAATCAGAGCCCCAAAGCTAAAAATCCTTCCTTTCACTCAAACTGAGCTCTACCACCTTTCTTCCATACCTGAAGCTTCTGGTAACAATTTGCAGGGCACCGCCAGTAATATATGTTACAGACCCACAAAGTGCAGAGCGCAACATGGAGCATGCTCTCTAAAGGCATAGTGATATCATGGGTTGACTTTTTAATCACTCTCAGTAAAGAACTGAGGGTGTTTGGCATTTCTCAGACTTCCCTAGTACTCCAAATATTCTTCACTGGACATCTCAATTTATCATCTAAGCTTTGTGAGGGAAAGTTAGAGACTGTAGGGAACATAAGTACAGGTACACTGTATTACATTATTTTTAGTCACTTAAATTTTTGTTTTAAACTTTACCGAAAATTATTTCGGTAGCTTGCGTAAAAAAATTAAAAATTCATTCTATAATTAGGAATGGTGTATTCATAATGTTCATAACTATTTAAGAATTACAGCCGTAAGACTATATAAAATACCTTTTCAATTTGTTATGCAAGCTCAGAAAGTGATTTCAAAGAGTTTGTGTATATGAGAACCACCTGACTGATTAAATTAACCAGTTGCTTCTTGGAAACTTCAAATACTAACTAAAGAAAACAAATTAGTGCGATATGATAATTAGGTACTTTTATTTATGTGCTTACCAAGGACTGGAATAGCAACTGATAAGGACTAAAACTGTACAAGAACTATGTGAAGAAGTTTGCATGAGTTTTGAATACACATGACAAGTCATGCAATCATACTAACAGAAACATAGCCAGAGCTGAGATTATATATTTACCAACCAGCATAAATATAGATAAGGTAGAAGGCATATTATTTTAACATTTATTTGCAGTTCTATGCTTTAAGTCACCTGTATTGCAGAAAATACCATATAGTTTCAATAAAGTAGCTTTAAGCTATTTTACCTTTAACACCGCTGAGATTACACATTGCGGCAAAGACAGAAGATTCCATCTCAATGTTTCGCACTCCAGAATCAAAAGCTTCCTTCAAATATCGCAGTTTCTCTTCTTCAGTGTATAAGCAGATTGCACCATCTAACCGGCCTTGTCCTACAAAGCCATTTTATAGAAATTTTCAGATGGATGAAATCATAGAACAAATTCTATGTTCATTCAAATTCTAAAACACCTGACTATTGCCATTTCCCTTATACAGTGTCCAGCTTTTACTATTGCCCTTTGTTTTCACATGCAAGAGAAAAAAAGGACAAAGCGATTCTTAGCTATTGCTAGAGCTTCTCCATATTACTTGCATTTGTTATAATGCAAATCATAGTAATGTAATTGGTGTTCTCCAGCTTCATTTATCAAATTCAGAAACAGGAAAATATAACAGGCAATTTCCCAGTGTGAGGTATGTCTCAATTTTGCAGCAAACTATACAAACAATAGCTGGATGGAAGTACTATGTATTTTTTGTGTGCTTAGCCATCGCCTAGGAAAACCTCCAGGCCTGAAAATGCTTTCCTGATACAACCTTAACGGTGGAAAAGGATGAACGTTTTATTACTTACTGACTCCTTAAAGTAAGAGATAAAAAGTCCGTTTAACTAACTACCTAATGCTAATGCTATTTTTGGAGAAAAAGGTTTTTTATTCAAATTATTTAAGATGAACAGCTGCAGAAAAAGCAGTAGTAGGCTATATAAAGTTAAATGACAGTGCTTTACTCAGTATCTTTCTGTTTTCAGGAACTGTAGTCCCAAATTAATGTCCTTAAGCCTGTTCTCAATTTTTGCTGTACAAGTTGAAAACCATCCTGACACTTTTTTCCAGTGTAGCCAGGACTCGTAATTGGTGCCTGAGAAGATGCACAAAGTGACATTGTCTGCTCCTGACCAACCCTGAACACCGTTAGAAAGATCCTGTGTTCCCCTGTGCAGTTTACCTCTTGTGAGATAACCAGTAATACCTAGAGAAAGAAGCATCAGATACTGTCCACAGTCTGTTCTTGCAAGATTTGAAAGATTTTTCTTAACAGACTTAAGGAGGACCGGAAAAAACATGTCTATGTTTATCCAGAGTAAGCCTTGGAGATGCGCCTCTTCTCCATAACAGCATTGACACAAGTTAGCAAAATATTGTGTTGAGTTGCCTGATCCTTGCTTTGCTCCAAATGTGCAGGAGAAGAATTCCCACACTTCTGCTAGAAAAGATTGACTTTAGGTTATTAACCAGTGCACAAAACAAAGACAGCCATGAACAATTCTCATTCCTCTAATCCACTAGGATGCTACAGTAAATCACAAAAATGTTGTGACAAACACTCAAATGACAAGCACATGGAAAGCATATAATGAATTACAGATATTTCAGAGGATCAGTTAGAATTAGGGGGAAATAAGTCTCCGCAAATTAAAATGCTGTACAACAAAATGCTTAGCACAACGGCTAATCTTAAATACAAGAGAAATAGCTCAATTATGGGCAATAAGACAAAGTATGGAATGTGGACTCACATTTCTCAGTGGACCGCAGCCTTAGTGTTAAAATGCAATTCAGTATGTAGCTGCTCATGCTTAGCAATACACTTCTGTTAGTCCACTGCCAGCCTTACCTTCATAGAAATCCAAAGTGCACATAGTGTTTCCAATGACTGTATTGAATTGATTGATTTCTTTACTGCACTGCATCAGCTCCTTAGCTAGCTGTTCATCTAGATCTGTACTGCGAATTACAGTCTTTCCCAGGATAACCTGTTCAAACTGAGGTTTGAAGGTGGCATCTACAGACTGCCTAGTTATTACCACTGAGCCTGGCTCCAGACCTGCAGTAAAAAGAAACAGATAGAGCTACATAATGTAGTTAACGGCTTAGTTTCTGCACACACATAAAAACATATACCATGATCCAAACCTGCTCCTGTTAAAGTCAGTAAGTTTTGCCCCTGAATTCATTCACAGAATATTTTTGTGCATACCGAGCTGTTTCAGCTTGTTGTTATAAATTCTTTTTTTTTTTTTTAAAGAAAAATTTCAACTTTTCCATTGTATATTCTTTCTTATCTAACACTTTTCATATAGGACAGCAGTGGCCTTCTCCTCAGTTTTTCAAATCTCAAGTGCATTTTGCCTATCTAGAGAGGCAGATAACTGCCTTTTCTTGCGGAATTATGGAAGAAGTGAAATAATTCTTTCTTCTGTATGGATGGATAATTAGGACCCAGGAAGAAATAAAAAAAGATACACGATTAAGTGTTTTCAAACCATCTCCCCGCTCTGCACAAAGGAGGAGGAAACAGTTCTGGCTGTCAGTCACTTACTTCCACAGGGATGCTTTACTCTCCTACAGAGACACTTTAGTTTGAAGAAAAAGGAAATCAAGCAGGGAAATACCTATTCCACCAGAAGTGCCAATGCGAATAACGGTTACGTTGGAACACTTTGCATGATGCAACAGTTTGATCAGCTCATGCAACATGATGGAAATAGAAGGAATGCCCATACCATGCTGAAATGAAAGCAGAAATTCATATTCAATATTCACAAACAATACAAAATAAATTTGGAAGAAGGAGTTAAACAAAATAGCTCCTTCACGATACTTCTTTCCAAAAGTCACTTGACTCATTCCCATACAAACCCAGCCTATGGGCCTTTTGGAAAGTTACTGCAGATAAACAGAAAGACTCCCACCAACTTTGAGGGGTTAAGAATGACGTTTAATATTTCCAAAAATAATGAATTTAAAATTATTTACATTTTCAAAAGTATAAGCACTGTCATTTCCTAATAGCTTACAACTGCATTTCATTACAAAACTTTTCTTAAACCTAAGAACAACCCCACACTAATTTTTACCGACCTGAAGTGCTGGTGAGTGTAGTTGAGCTAAAATCTTTCAAAATACAGACATCGTGGTTTAGTCACAAAGTTCAGCAAATAAGTTCACCTTAACTTGCACTGAACTGGACCTTTTTGAGTATGGCTGAAATAGATTTACAAATTGACTCTATCTCTTAGGCATTTAAAAGAAATGCACTTTCATATCATCTACTTTGAACACTATCATTGAATTGCACCCCATATCTGATGTACATCAGGATATTTTCACATTCTGATTCTGCTTTTTGAATGGTCACTTACACTGACTGATAAAACAGGGCCCACTTTGTACATTGCATAACGGTCAGTTCCCGCACAGATGTTAGGATACTCATAACCAGGGCTCCCAAGTCCCAGCTCTTCAGCTATGTAGGTGATAAAAGCTTTCATCCGCGAAGGACTTCCTCCAACACATACAAACTGGTGTAGACAGTATTCAATAAAACACAATCAGTTACATGATTTGGTATATCAAAGAGCAAAGATAAATATGAGCGTGCAAAGACCTCCAGTTAATAAAAAGCTGTTCCCACCTATGGTTCTTCTCCTAATCATTCTAAAAGGCCACGAAGAAAAACGAGAACAGGGCTTATCCAAAAATCACTCGCTCCCTCAAAGGCCTTCATCCTGTTTAAGCTGAAAATAGTAAAAGCCTAATACTGACTTCAAGGCCCCCCCAAAAAGGAGTTCTGCCTGAATGCACACTGCAGCATTTGTCTTTTACTGTACGAAAGGACAGAGACAAACACAATTATCCCTAATTCTGTTCAATTCTGACATCAACAAGTAAGAACCCGCAAAATCCTATCCTTTTTCATTCATTCCTTAACTGATGGCGTGCTGCCATATTCGGTCTCATTTTGGACATAAGTTACACTTTCACCTTCCGCAGAAAGGCTTAGACTTGCTGAATGAAATGAAGCTTCTTACCTTTACATCTCCAAACAATGCAGGAAAATCATGGGTACCAGTCCCAAGAGCAAAATGGTACAGGATGTCTTCTTCCATTTTCTCCAGGTGAGGGTTGCAGAGGTGGATAAAATTCTCTCTATCAGGACAGCATCATGGAAAATATTAAGTATATACAACAGCCTACATTGAACAGACACTGATTTCGCAAAGTCAAGCAGCAAAAGTTGGAAAATGCACAGCTTAAGGCTGCCTGCACAACCTTAATTTGGTTCCTTATGCATCAGGTTGAGGAAATCCTAAATGTCATGATCACCTTAAATCTTGTGATAAACTGCACAGTCAGTGTTGCATTCATAGCACAGGATAAAACTGCTCAAGAAAGACACAGATGACAGAAAGCAAATGCTTTGAAAGAGGGTGGGGATTTATGATGAGCAGGGAACATTCGTTAGACCTCCTTACTACACAGACAACCTGCATCAACGTTAAAAAGCAAACTTGACCTGTGTTTTGCCTGACCCTCCTAGCTACTTGACAGGAGTGGGAAGAGTTGGGATTATACATAGATCCAAAAGGAATTTCTAGCAGTTTGGCTCCATCTGTAGCTGCATCCCAACCAGCCAGGAAGAAAGAACCTGACATGGCAAGAGGCCAAGAATACAGGGGCTCAAAAATGGGAGAGGAAAGAAGCAAACGGACATCAGAAGCAAAGAGAAAACCACAGAAGAAAAAGAATGCAAGTGAAAGGGAGAGGGAAGAGAAAGTAAAAAGAAATCACTTCCTTTTTAGAAATACTGCTTATGGTTGCTTACTGTAAGGAAGGGATATGGCTAAAACAAAGGCCTTGTGAAGAACCAGGAAATGTCAAGGCAATGAGAAAAAGCTAAAGTACTTAACACGTGGGATCACCTTCACAGAAAATTCAGTCATGGACAGGGAAAGTAAATGATTCAAAAAACTTCTGCCTTCTGTGCTCGCTATCTGATGTTCAGTCAAAACAGGCAGGAAACACTAGTTCAAAACCACAGGCTAAACTAAAATACTGGCCAATACTTCAAAGTAGTTTCCAAGAGATGAAACCAAGCACTGAACATCTTCCAGACACAAGATGACGACAGTAATTTAATGAAGGCTCACTGCAGTCACAGGATGGCTCAGCAAATTCAGCCTGCTTTGTCAGAAGAGGAAAAAAAAGAAACATTTTGCCTGGAGTTGATGCAAAAAATTGTTAAGACTTTGCAGGAACAACTCTGTAGCCTAAACACAGGCATTCAGCGCTATTTTAAATGCTTTAGGCTACCTTGTCTGTTTTCTGACACCTCTGCAGAAGGGTAGTGCTTTCCTGTAGGTCCTATGCCTATCTACCGGTCCTGTGTAGGATGTACTGGTTATTTTAAGACGACTAAAATGGTCTAGATGCCCATATTGAGGCCACTAACTTGGTCCTCAAAAAAAAAAAAAAAAAAAAAAAAAAGAAAACACCCAGTATTCCAAGTATATCAATTGCTTCTGTTCCTCAAATTTTCTCATGTCACTAGCTGTCCAGCAGCCAAAGCGCAACCGAAGTAAGTGGTATCATCTCATTCCACTCTTTTCATCCCTGCCCACCAAACACTACCACCTTTATGATTACACTAGCTCAGCTCATGTCTACATATGACATAGACTGGATCCATGCGATGACTGGGTTAAGAAAATCTAGTATTAAAAAAGGTGTTTTTTCAGCCTTGCTGATAATACATATCCATGTAAGGCATAGTGAGATACTATAATTAAAAAAAAAAAAACAAAAACACACATACAACAACAAAGGGGCACTAAACCACCAGTGGGAAGAAACTGAATGCAGAAACTATTTGTCCGGATCTAACATCCACATAACAAGTTCATACAATTGTGACGTAAGATTCCCAGGATTCCAACACATCTCTACCGGAGAAGCAGTTTACTGAAGCTAAAGGAGCTAAAAGAGAAAGATCTGACCAGACTCTGAATGCAGAGAACTAAACGCGATTTAGCAAATATCTTCTATTTAACAAAAGAAAGTGACTGAAAAAGCAGCCTAACAAAGCAGATGGTTTGTCTGCTCCTTAAGTAATGACTCCTTTTCATCTCCCACTTGCCCCATTTGCCTCCCTTCTTACAAATCTTGTCTGTGGTGGAACTAAAGGCTTTGGTTGCCTTTCTTCTTCCCTCTCTTTCTCTCCATATCCTCTGGACACAGCTGGCCCAGGAGATTGCCAACTCATGTGAGCAGAATCCCCAGGCTGCCTCCTCTGAACTATTCTCGTTGGGTTTTTTGGGCATCCCTACCTCTATTTAATGGGTGACTAATGTAGATCAAATAGCTGGCTGTGCTGATGTTCACTGGCATGGCTTGTAGATACGAATAGAATATGGTTTGAAATCATTTTAAAATTTGCTCTCTGACAAGCAAAAAACCATTTCCTTTATGAGTTTACCAGCAACAAAAAGCCTCGCTCTCTGAGACACAAGGAAATGAACCGGGAAAAGGCGAGGCCTGTATTAAAAGCACAATGAAATCTTTTGTGCCATTTGCCAACACCATTGTTCTCAGGCCTGGCCTAAATATAGCTTCCTTCCTCAGCTGGGTCTACATTTTGCCTTTTTCATCTCATATCCTACCAAAAACACTCTTCAACCCACAGTCTCATTGCAGTTATGTGCTGTTACTAACTGGTACTCGTTAGCTGCCAATCCAGATCTAATTGCAGACTTGGACCCTGGGGTTAAATGGACAATAAAAGTGAGAAAGTTATTATGTGTACACAGGACCAATGCCATGGATTTACAGTAGAGGCAAAGTTTGCCTGATAAAGATCCTGGACCATAACTCTCAGGAGAAGAAAATTTATTCCCTCACATGGTTGTAAAGCACCTAAAACTTCTGGGGTCTGGCTTACACAGAACATGAATACCGGAGGACTAATCCTGTACCTGCGGTTTCATTGAAAAAAGTCTGCAGTCAGGATGAGACAAATAGATTGAAATACTTGTTCAAATTCTTGAAGCAGGTAGATCTAGCCAGAGACAGAAGCCAAAGTCGACTTTTGAGCAATCTATTGGAATGAATGAATAAATAAATAAATAAATAAAATAAACTTATTGGAAAATTCACTGACATGATAAACCAAAATGGCTATCCAGCAAAGCCATCTGCACTGGTATGGTTAATGCAGATAAAGACTCCATTTGTCAGAACAGCTTCTATTAGAAACTCAACTAAATGCATTTGACCTGCTAAAGGACTTCTGTTAGAAATAAATCTTATCATTAAATTATATTGTTATTTCAACAACTGTTTAAGCATAGACCTACTTACAATTGATATTTGCACCACACTGTTTGCATTTTGCACCACACTGTTTGCATTACATCAAATAAGCACGCAATGAACCATATAGAATTTCAGAGTTCTGAGAGAAAGTTAAGTGTAAATTTGAACAAGATACTTAATTTGAGTTTTTAATCTTACTTTGAAGACTGTTCATCTTCAGTTTTCTTGTCATTTGAGATACCAGGAGCCATGTGTGGTTAGACCTAGAACTGTATCAAAAAATAAGATGTAAATGCAGCAAAGTAAACGAAGTAAAGATGCGTACAAGTTGCATACCCTTTTACATCACAGTAGTCCCATATATAAAGCTAATGTCATCAATAATGATAGAAACTGTCCATATAGATCATACTGCCACAAACATTAAAACCAAAAAAGTTATCTAGCTTCACTGTAGCTCTTCTTACTCTAGCAAAATGAACATGTCATTTTTACAGCCAAGTATCGCCACACTCAAAACGCTGTAGCCTCAACTAATTGCTTCCTAATATAACCCCCCCACCACCACTACTATTTTTATTTCTTAGCATGAGGAATGCCTGGCTCATGGGCCAGAGGGACTCCCAGCTCTTGCAGCTAACAAACTAATCCTCTTCTTCTGTACCTTCCACAGTGACAATCGCTGTTGAACTAGGTTTTTACCTTTTACCTCTGGCTCTCAGAAGTTCTCCAAAGTTCTCCCTAACTGCTATATGCCTAAAATCTGAGCCCCAGGAAGCATCTTAGCCATAACATCCCCTTCATTAAACTCCTCCTACTGACCTTAATAGCATGTCTATCTGCACCAGCCTAAGGGCAGGGACTAAACCACACATGAATCCAAAAAGTCATAGCATTCTAGTCTATCATCCATCTTTTTCTAACCTATTACCCTAAACTATATCATGAAACTTCTCCCTTCTGCATTTCCCTTAACTTAGAATTCTGTTACAGTACTGGCAGCATAGGCTTGGTGTTACATTTGTCTATTTATAACAACAGAATGATTCATTTGTTAGTATTTTTCAGAAATGACTAAGGCTACGTGCAGAAGTCGGTACGTTCTGGGAATCCCTTACAGGAAGTCTTGAATCACAAAATTTTGTCCTGTCCTCCCCAGCAAATAGCCTGACAGCATATACATACTATGCAGATAGACCTGTAATCCTTAAGCGTTGTCAACCTAGGGATTACACTACAAGGAAATAGAAACCGATTTTACAACAGACTTACAAAATGCATGAATTTTTAAAGAGGAACAGAAGAACCAAAGAGCCAGATGAAATAAAGCTGAAGTCTATATGTTAAAAGTCATTGAATAATGGAAATGTATTCAAATTCATAAAGAAGATTTATCTTTTTCATTTACAATAATAACCTTCATTATCTAGTATATAAGAAGTTTTGGTTAACTTATGCTAAACATATTTTAGAATCTACACTAAATGAGATAAAGTATAAGAGCCATTATTTAGAATCAGTTATGCATCCCTACGGTTGTATGATTAGTCAGTTACTACAGGATATTACTCACATTACTCTCACCACTACTATAAAATACTACATACGTTACAGAACAAACGATGCCTTTCGCCCAAAGGATACTCCATTACAAGAAAACTAGAGTGCCAAGACTTCTAATAGCAAGGAGTTACATTAAGAAGAAATAGCAAAAATACCATTAATATTTTACTAGTTATTTTTAGGTACATAGAGGACAAATATCTTCAAATAAAAAATGATATTCACTTCTCATCCAGAGTATTAAGCAATCACATGATTTTTAACAGTATTTTTGGTTCCTTGCTCACCTAAGTAATGATGTACTTCAAAAAACTGAGAACAGAACAAAGTTCTGACAGTCCAAAGGTCCAATATACTCTCTCCAGCAGTGCTGAACGGATGCCTGGGCAAGAACAGAAGAAAAGACCAAGTATAAAGCAGTTCTTCCACGGTAGACCCTTCCAGCAATCAGGTGGTAGCTGACAGCCTGACAGATAAAGGGCTACATACATAGCTCTCATAAAGCTCTCACAAAATTCTCACACTGCTTAAACAAGCAGAAATTTGTTATAAACACGTCAAAAACCTTAACAATCTCCCTTGGTTGAAGTTAAAACTGATGTTGAAGAACAATGCGTTCAAAAGGAAAACCTGAATTATCGGTATCTTTAAGGAGGAGCTCTAATGTGGTTTTGATCCATCGTCAGGAACACTGAAATCACCGCAGAAATAATTTTCACCCTGCAGTTTCCCCTCTTCAGACTGTACGACCGATTATACCTCCCTCGCGATACCGATCGCATCCGCACGATTCCTTCGGCTCTGTAACATGGAGGAACCCCCACGCAATCCCCCTTAACCTACACTAGGAAGCGAAAGTACTGCCTGCACACGTATCCCGCGGAACACCCACCTTCCAAGGCACAGCAGCGCTCGCACGTCCCGACGAGGGCTGTCTGCGCCGCGCTGCCCTCCCCGCTGCGCTTGGCTTTCTCATCCGCGCAGGGAGGGGCGAGGCGCTGAAGAGCAAGCGAAACCAAGGCTGCTGCCGCCG